GTTTGACATCTTTGATACAAGTAACGAGTTCACTTCCAAGTGAACAACCCGACAGTCTTCTTCTTATCATAGCATACCAACCAGCGAACACCCAGCCAAGTTTAGTTAGCCAGTTTGAGTATTCGTTACACTACCGGTTTCTAAGGTATTACGGAGCAAGGGATCTTAATAAGGAATGTTATTTTATAATCTAACTAATACAGTATCTTAAATATTTCAAAGGTTACCTACCTTATATACTCCTCCAAGGCTTACTAAATGTTCTCTTAAAAAAGTAGGCTTTATCCGACTCAGAATGTACGCTGTTATACGAGTACCGTCGCTTAGACGGTACCTATACAGAGGAGGGCAGGCATAATACGAGTGGTCGGACCGCCCGGGTGAGGCTCGGCCCGTCTCGGCCCGTCTCGGACCGACGTACTCCGTACTACTCAGAGTCACTCGAGTACTTGGCGAATTGAGTTGAGTTGAGTAAGGTGCCACTACTCAACTCAACTCAACTCAACTTATTCACAACACTGATCTCATCCAACACCACCTACTCACCACCCTCACAAAACCCCCTTTCCCCTTTCCCCTCTCTTTTCCCTTTTCCTAGCACCACCCATCAATCACCATACATTATCAACCTCAATCCCCCCTTCTCATCCTCAAACCCCCAACACATATTCCAGTACCCATACTCTTACCCGTACCTCCTAAGATAACTTCAACCAGTCATTCACGTACTCTACCCCCACCAACACACCAACACACCAACATAGCCCCCCCCCACAAAAGACCTTTCAAAAACCAAAAAAGAAAAGAAAAGATGGTAGGCATGTACTATAGCTATAGCTATAACATAGGTACAGTACTATATAAGTAAAAAGTGCATTGTATACTATAGCGTTGTCCTGTAGTTGAATGGCGATAGGTACTATATAGAGATCGTCTTCGACTCTTCCCCTACACCTCGGAAAGAAATAATATATTCCACTCAAGTATGTAAGATCTACGTAAAATATGAAGAAGAAAAAAACACACATCCATATAGTATACTGTAAGTATAAAACACCAAATAAGAACTCCTTCTATTCAATAATCCAAATCAACAAGGGGGTATAACCGAATATCCAACGACAACCGAAATCTATTTTTTGCTGTGGGTCCATTCATCACTTCGTCATCCAACAACTCTTCTTCCATTCACAGTACCATCTACTGTACCCCACATAGCCATCTACTCCCATCTCCCATGTCCCATCTCAGAAACGAAAAAAATCTACAGAGCCGGCGCTTCAAAGTTTTCCCGTCGGAGCTTCATATAAGCACTTTGCTTATGAGAAAAGGTAATTTCCTTTTCCTTGAAGAAGCCATTACTTTGGAGATGCGAGATAAATCTAATCGTCGAGATCAGCACGAAATACGACAACCAAGCGAGTGCACAAGAAGAAACAAACCTTTCGTTATCAACCCTCGGCTCCAAAACCACACTGTTAGTCCTATAATCCTGTACAAACGCCCAATGAGCAATCGAAGTCGCCCAAGCATCCACCCTATGCTTTCCCCGAAACTCTTGCTCGCCTACCAAAACATGGAATCCACGATCGAAATCCCCCGCTTCACAACCGAGATGTCGACCTAGAAGATCTTCCTTGGTCCAGTAGATCTCGAAGAAGCCAAATGGCTTTCCGTCCCAGAGACCAATGGCGGGAAATGAGTGTTTGGAAGTAAGACATTTTCGTAGATATTCTTCTTGGATATTTTGGGGACCTTGAAGACCCCAGAACTTACTCACCCGTGGGTTGTTCATCCATTTGTTGAGGAGTTGAAGGTCGGTCATTGAGGTGGTCTCCTCATTTTGTTCGGATATACTTGGTGATGGGGGTGCAATGTCGGCCATAGAGGATATTGAGATGTGGGCTGGAAGAGAGGATAGTGACGCAGTCGTGTGATGATGATGATGCCTGTGGAAGTTTGGAAGTGTGGAAGGTCCGTTGTAAGCTACGGGTCTTGTAGATAACGATGCTACTCGGAACGCCAGGTATTGGCCTATGCTTCGAATATACCGAGTATAAAATATTTCACCTTGACGTGGTGGTTTTGGACGAATAGGATGTCGTACTCCAGACGTCATGGTGTACTGAAGTGGTGGGGGAGGATAATATGTGGGAAGATGACTTCCAGATGTGAAAGGTGTAATTGTGGCCGAGCCCCCTTGCGGGGGAGGAAGTCCTGGGCTAGGAAGGCCTCTCCCAATTGTATCACGATCCGGGGATTCTCTCCGGCTTGGAGAACCAGTTTTGTGATCGCCACGTACTGGAGAATTGGGCCGACTGCCGTAAGGAGATCCAGGGAAAGATGAAGCCACGGTAGGAGCGATTGTGAATATGAAAAGCTTCGCCGATAATTGCCAGAAGATCCTTCTTGATGTAAACATCTGCGACCAGCCATGAGGGGTATTCTCCTCGGGTTCCTCGCCAACGGATGAGTCCTCGGATGTCACTAGTCCCATCCGCTCCAGCTTTTGTATTAAATTCCGACCTCGAAACACGCCTTCCCGTCTGATGTTTATTCGCCAATCGCCTTTTGGTCTGGCCGCTTCTGGCACGTCCTTTGAAGCTTCTGTGTGGGGCCGTAGATTGGGTTCTGGCTGGTGAAAGTACCATTCCAGCGTTGCCCAAAGCATCATTGCAATCTGCCTGGTTGGACCCGTGGGCGATTTGAAGTCAATGCTAGAAGGATTCGAAATGGAGGAAATAAATAGGTTGTCATTACGGAGGGTCGGCTGCTTGAAAGCGTGGATATGGCGAGGCTTGCCCTTGGCTGGCATGCCGCGTAACTCTACATCCGTTCGTTTTGTCGTAATGTCATCGTCCGAGGATTCGGTGTTGAGGATTACGGTCCAGCCAGCAGGAAAGACATTGTTATGATGGTTGAAGTCGTTGGCCTTGAAGAAAAATCCACCAAAGACCGAGCTGACGGTCAAAGTTTGCCCATTTGGAAGCTGTACCAGGTATGGAGGGGGTGCCATTTTCGCGTAGGTGAGATTGGGTTGAGGATGCTCTGGGTGCTCTAGGTCTGGCTTGGTCTTGTACTCCCACAAGTGCACTCGGTGACCTTCGCAGAAATCTGGTGAATTGGAGCAGCAGTAGTAGCAAGTGCAAGAGTTTGTACACGCTCAGTAAGTATTGAGTATCGAGCACCCGGATGCGCAAATGCGTCGGTGCCTCCCGATTGTGGTGGTATGTGCCTCGAGAATAGAAATAGGTATGCAAGCAAGCTTGGGTTGGTGCAGATATTTTTGTAGATAGTTGGTGGTTTGCGCAGTCGCCGTCGCTATTGCCGTGAATTGTGGTGGTGGGATTTCTGGGGTTGACCCCTCGTATGCGTACAGTATGATGATGAGCACACTTTACTCAATATGAGCTGCTTGCTGCAGGTGTCTTTGCCTTGCTCCGTAGCTCCAGTACCAGTATGTCAGTTCAATTCTCCTCCCAAAGTCGCATCCACTTCACTCGGACAATTCCCAGAATAGACCATGGAAAATATTGAAAAGACAGTGCTCGTGCTCATGCTCAATGCTCATGTTCATGCCCGAAGGGCCTTTGATGCGATGGGTCTTCTCTTCCCCGCCAACAATGCGATGTCTCGATGTTGAGGGAACGCCCCCACCAGCCGCCTAGCAGCTCGGCAAGGCCGCCTGGTGCCGCCTGGTGCCGCCTTTGCCTTTGGCCTCAACTTCCACACAAGGACCGACGTTGGAAAGCCACCAAACTTCTGGTAACAACTCAACAACTCAACCCTCAACAACTCCAGTCACGCTCTCACTCTCTTCTTACTTCACGAGGCAGCGCAGTTCCTGTCTGCGAATACCGGCGAATACCTGCGAATATCTTGCGATTTCGGATGGCTGCCTCGTGCACGTTTTCCCGATTCAGGGAGGGAGAAGCGAGATGAAGCGAGAGGGTGCGGTGCGGACGACAGGAAGATCTGGAGATGCATTTTATACCCTCGACTCGACAGGTCCTAGGTATAAGTGCTGCTGCTGCACCTGCACCGCCAGATTGCAGATTGCAACGTAACCTTCCGATGACCTATATTACGGCGGGTTGAGGAGATGCTCAAATGCCCCCGTCGTAGCTTTCTTGGATTCCCACCTCCCCCTCTGTACAGCACCAAGACTTGACAGGGCTGGACCTGGTGGAGTGTGAGTGCCATTCTTAGAAACGCAGAACCTTGAAGCTGTCGCTTTGCTGCCTCAGTCGCAACTTCAGGCTCGGCTCTACCTGCTCAGCTCTACTCAGCTCTACTCATCCCCAGTACTCGGCATCCTCCCCCTCATCCAGACAGACCACCACACCACCCCAGACTTCGCCATCCACCCACTCGATCCCTCCGCCCAAAGCACGCCGCATTTCCGAGCCGGAACATATCTCGCAAGCCTTCGTCCGCTCTTCACAAACTTCTGGAACGTCCCCGTCCACGCCCACGTCCACGTCCCTCTCGCAGCCCTCAATTCCCTCAATTCGTGTGGCATCAATACTTCAGCGACTGCGCACATATGCGAATGTATATGTGAGATTACACGATCGGATCGAGGCAAAGGCACACGCAGCACTCCACAGGAATCGCGGATCTGGCCTGCTCTACTGGTAGCCAACATCAGCGGTAGTGGTAGCGGTACCGCCCTGTCCCCGTGCGGTCTCTCCTTCTGCTATGTCTGGCTGGTAGAGGAAGGTGAGAAGGGGGAGGTACATAAGGTACATACACCTTCCACCTCCACCCCCTCCAACGCGACTGGACGACCTGAAGAACTTCATACTGCGTCAGAATCACACTCCACTGCCTTCTCCTGCCATTCCATGTACGAGACGAAGCGATCCCGCCCTTCAAGACGCACCTGATGGCCGTATCGGACGGTATGGCTGCCCGATAGCGTTTAAACGCCGGCAGCCCTGCTTTATCTGCTCAGCAAGCAATTCCAAGACAAGGAATACGATAATCCCAACGCGGGCGGCTCGGTCGTGCCACAAGAGAATCGAGGGCCTAGAGGTCTTAAGAGGTTCTAAATGTTGTCCACAACTAAGGCTATGATGCAATAATGTCTGTACTGGCTGCTGCTGCTGTCACTGCCTCTGCTGTAACCAGTAACGGTGCTGGAGTCTATTTAGTACTCAAGTACGCCGTGTCACCTCAAGAAGAAGGCGAAAAAACTTCTCGATAGTAGTCCTGACTCTCGAGTAGCACTGCACTGCACTGCCCAACGACCGTCAATCAATCCCATTGCACTCGACTGCCAGCGTAGCTGTCGGGCCCTGATTGGCTTCGTATGCGTGGATCGAGATCGGGATGGAATGATTACAAGAAGCAGTTCCCATCTCTGCACCAGATGTGTTCCTCCCATGGTCGATACGCAGAACACTGGGCCCCGTGGTCTCTATATACACCCAGTACGCATCTTCAGTAGATACCCCTAGCCCCCAAGCGGTGGATGGGTGAGGCTGTGTGTAGCCAAGAGCACTTTCTCCTGGGCAAGGCTGTGTCTCCTCTGGAGAAGGTTACATTCTGGCTTATGCATGTTCGGCAGTCCGGCAGCTATCCAGGTTCATCGTTATGCAGGTGACAACAGCAGGAAACGACTCAGTAGTTGTAGCGCTGATGACATGACACCCTCTGAGATATTTGACGAATCTTGGTGTTTTCGGGGATTTCTGCCGTAGTGTCGGCAGCCGGCCGGATGGCTGCCATTCGTCTCGCCTTGTTTCTTACTATTGTGATGTCCCTCTGCTTCGTTGTCGTCCTTCATCGCCCGCCGGCCAACCCAGCTAACCCACGATACCTTCAAGATGTACTGGTCTATGTGGAGGCCTCGTCTATGGAGGCGTCGTTAGCAGGAACTCGGGACTCGAACTGCCCTATACAAACATGCTGACTGCCAAGGGCGGGGAGGCTCGGATGTGGATTATACCTACCGAGGAACCCCTCTCGCTCTCTCCCCCCACTCCCAGCTTGACGTTTGTAGGGACCCGCCGTCATCCCCAAGTAGGTCAGCACTTTTTTTGCTTCATTTGGCACATCTATTCGCTATTTTCACTGTGACTTGCATACGAGCAACCTAATTGTGTCAGATGTGGAGTAATGGTTTTTACTACTTTCCACAATATGCGCGTCGTATCAACCGAAATCACCTCTAAACGCGAAATCAAGCTTCTTTCTCTGCCGGAGGACTGGCACTTGTTCATCTCAATTCCACCCAATGTTGCTGAATAGTTTCTCCCTTCCACATTGAGCAGAGCTCCGTCTTCCGTACTTCTACTTCCGTCCTCATTTGACCACGAGAAGGCCATCGGCTCTCTTCTTTAGGCATGTTTCCAAGCGATGCCAAATCATGTTCTGCACTTTGCCTAATTGATAAGCGAAGTTGATCAACCCCTGGACGTAGTCGTTGAGCGTACCATCCGGCCCGCTTTGGTACGTACCATGCAGGGTCCTGGATCTTTGGTTGTGCACGACATTTTCGATGGCTTGCTATGGGGGGTTTGGCCGCTGGGCCGTCGAAGATGCATGCTACAAACCGGCGACGGGTGTCGTTCCGCCGTGCAGATGGTAGCAGTTTAAGTACAATATGATTGGGAAGTATAGCCTGCAAATTTGACTCACTTCAGTATACAATCCGGGAACCACCTACCTCGCCCGAACCCATCAAGATAATCAGCGAGGCCTAGCTATGTGATTGGCAAGAATTTGGCCTAGGGGCTTGCCTGCTCGTGCTACAGACGGCGAGTGCTTATGGAAATGTACCAGCACTCTTTTTCTTCCAGGTTCAGCGTGGAGATCATCAGCAACTTCTTCCAAAGAGCCTGCTAATGCAATATGCAATGCCGGAGTCCCTTGGCGAAGATGGTCTATCACACCACCCTGGTAGAACAAGGCCTCGAAAGGGCATGTGAAGCTCATAGCCTCCGACTCTTGCTAGGCTAGGAAAGACTCAAGGTTCAAGTACTAGGGGTCGAGCATCTGCCTTGGGCATATTTTGCTCTCAAATTGACGGCCAACACTCGCTATCTTGCACTTGAAATCAAAGTTCATCAGACTCGCAATCAGCATGGCAGGCCAAGTTCCACCTTTGGTGATGTCGAACACCAAGGATGATTTGTTGAAAGCTCTCAAAATGGCCCCGGAAACCTATACGATGATGGCGGTAAGCAGCCTCGCCAAATTTTTCATAGATCTGCCTGCAGATGGCATGCTACGTACGATGGATTGGGGGCTTTATGCACCACCTTGAGTGAAAGTGCTTACTGATATTTGTTTATGTACCAGAAAGAGGCAGACAATGTCTACAGGTGGTTGACCCAGGGAGGGTATCATTTAAAAGATAACTGCTCGCGGAGACCACCCTACGACTGGAGTGACATCAGAGAGAAGTCCAAGAACGAAGCATACGAACGCATTGCCCAGTCCGGTGACGCGCATACTAGCTATTACTGGAATCTTGCCGCGCCCACCGAGGACTGTTCCAACTGGATCGCAAGATGGTTTCTCTACCACAAATTTCGATACCGTGATGGGAGGAATCGAAACTCGGCCAAAGATGATGGTTCCAAGTCGAGCCGGTCAAAGGGTTCCAGCAGCCGTCCCACGAGAACATCAGGCCACCAAAGTTCCAGACATCCCCGAACCGAACAATCCAGCGTGACGCAAGCGAATGGTGCTTATTATGAGCCTCAAAATTCTTACTATACCACCAGTGCAAGTAAGTTCATTCAATTCCAAACTTGGATTACCTCTTCGAGCCAAGTGCATAGTACAACGATGGAGAGTTGAACCAAAATTTGGATCTAACAGTATATAGATACATACCAACAGCAATACTATACACAACAAGGTTCGTAACCCATGGGACATTTACATCTCCTGAAATATTGATATCGAATCAAGCCTGCATAACAATGAACACACTAACTAACACTTGACTAGCCTCCTCGCCGGCCAACTATTCATCGTACGGCAATAACTATGCTTACGATCATCGAGGACGCTACGATCAGGAATTCAAAGAGGAAGATGATCAGAGTCCTAAGACGTATTATGATCCCGTTCGAGACGCGGATTCGACGAGACGCTGATTCGACAAGACGCTGATTCGACAAGACGCTGATACGACGAAATGCTAGAGGTTCTTCTGATATATGCTTATTATATCTAAAAAGTTTACATGACTTGTTTTTTTCCCCCCTTTCTTTTCCCTTTTTTGGCCTTTCCAGGTGATGGGTGGTTGTGGTTTAGAGGCTGGATCTCGAAGTTTCAATTCTTTTTGATATACAAGTAATATATATACCCTCCTTTTTTCTTTGCTTTTTGGCTGGATGGTAATGGTGATGGCTTGTATCGAGGGATGCTATGCTATTTTTACAGTCCGTGATTCAATTCAGTCTTGCGGTTAGTTGGAACTTGTGTTTGGGGTTGATGAGGTGAGATGAAGTGAGGTGAAGGGATGTGCGGCTATTGTCTTTTGTGCTTTTTTTTGATGCTTTGATAGGTGTTGTTATATATAATGTGTTATGCATATCTCTCTCTCTCTCTCTCTCTCTCTCTCTCTCTCTATTGAGATTCTTTATTCTTTCTTTCTTTCTTTTGTAATTGTTTGAGAGATAAGCTTGTGTTGTTGTGTTGTGTTATATCTATACGCATATCTATCTATCTATCTATAGCTATAAGTTAGGTACGACTATTACTAAGGTCTTACGGTATTTGGGCACTACTGTATTATGGTATACTTATTTATTTAGTAGGCAGTCAGGTAGGTAGGTACCTATGGATCTGGAAAGGTTGACTTGGGGTGCTAGGTAGCAAGCTGTGAGTGTTTGGTTTGGTTTGGTTCTTGGGTTTTGGGTTTATGTATAAGGGGGGAGGGGGGTTGTTAGGTGATATCTGTCTTTTTTGATCCTTTTTTTTCTTTTTTTTCTTTTTTTGGGAAGAGGTTGGGGGAGGGGGGTTGTTACCTAGGCTAGGTAGAAGTTTTGAAATTAGGTGTTAGTATCACCTTTCTATTATTATTTTAATGAATTAATTAATTACCTATATCCTCTTATCCTCTTGTGATAGAGATCCAATCTATTGGTATTAAAGCATTCTTTTCATCTAGGTAGGTGGAGAAATTATAACATTTCTGATCTGATCTGATGTCTTGGAGGTATATGACTATTATGGACTTTTCTTGCTATCCCTCTATCGGTGTGTATGTAAGATACGTCTAGGACGCCTCTTGGATGGTAATTCTACTGTACTGGGCCGATTTATGGAAGTTTCTGTATGCACGGGCTGATAGCCTTGCAGGATGGGGCTGTGAGGAAGGGGTGACATACACGCACTATACTGAAGAGTGGAGAGTGGAGAGTGAAGAGTGGAGAGTGAAGGGTGTAGAGTGAAGATGCTGGGGGTGGTTGTGGTGTATCTATCTGACCACACCATATTTTTATTTTTCTTCTCGGCCCTTTTCTTTTCTTTCCTTTAGATGTTTGTATTTCCCTGGTTTTCTTTTTCCGTCTTATCATTTCCTACTGTACCTGTACTTTCTGGGTCTTGTGGTGAGGAAGTCGGCAAGTTGGAGCTTGGGAGGAAGTCTTGATTTTTTGAGGTGGGAAGGTGGGACGTACGAGCCGAGGCAGTCTATAGAGATAGCACGAGGCAGCTTCCAACTTCCAACTTCCTAAGGCCTTTTTTTTTCTGGAATGGGATGGGAGTGGATGGAGGGGGGTGTATGCAGGGCATCGAGTTTGGATCGTCATCGAGAGGGAGAGGGAGAGGGAGATGAGGTTTGGTGTTTGGTATTTGGGGTGTGTTTGGGGTGTGGAGGGTGATGGTGATGTTGTGGATAGATGTTCCGGTTTATGGGTACCTTATCATTATTTTTTTGTGTTCTAGATCTGGCGCCCGGCGGCGGGTTTATTGATCCTTCTTTTGTGTGTGTGTGGGTGTGTGTGGGTGTGTGTGGGTTTGTTTTGCGGGAGTTGTGTTGTGCGTTGTGCTTTGTGGTACAGTACGGGGGTTCTTGTCATGGGATGTGGAGGGAGAGTTGAGGATAGGGTAGGGTTGGGATAGGAGTTCTTTTTGAGATACTTTGAGATTTTTGTAGAGGTTCTTGGATGGGAGGTTCTTGGATTGGTGGATTGGAGAGCACGGTACTCTTACTGGACTTTGGTTATAGGAAGTGGTTTTTGTTGGGGAGTTGGATTTTACCTTGAATGATTTGAGAGCCTTGAGATGGGTAAGGTTGTTTACAAGTACCGTTTCTGTAGATACTTTTCTCTTTACCGTTGCCCTTGTCCATGTTAACACATGTGGTACATACAGAAACCCCAATCAGACACACACAGTGGCACTATACAAGACATTCCGCCACACAAGATACATGTACAGTACAGTGCAGTACATACTACCACAAACTACCCGACGTCTTGCAACGGTCCACGTGGAAGGATTGGAGTCTCGGAGCCGCACTCCTAGTCCGTCCCCTCCCCATTTTTCGATGGCGCAGATTACGTTGATCGGGTCATTGACGCAGGTAGTGTGATGTGATGTCCAGATGTCGTGTTTGGAGATCCGGACGCTGGGCCCGGCAGGGGGAGGGTGCCACGAGGCAGGTACCCACTTATTGTATTAATATTGCGTGGAGGGGTGGGTGGGTGGTTGGGGAGGTAGAGATTGTCTATGGGTACTTGTGAGTGGTAGATGGTACTGGAGGGAGTGTTGGGATTGTAAGTCAGTGGTGTATAGCGTTATCTTTTCCTTGATACTTGGAGGTTATGCGTAGATGAGGTGATTGGTGAGAGAAACTTCAAGTGGTTGGTTGTTATTGGATATCGATTTCTTTCCGAGTCAAGTAAAGGTCTGGAGGGTATTCAGTTCCGCTATCTCAATCGTCCCCACCTATTCAAACTCATTAATGCTTTTCACAATTACCTAAACCCCCTCCCTTCCCGATTAGGAATCATCCATTATAGAACTTCACATCAATAACATACTGTAACCCCCTAGCCCAAGAACTTCCCTTTCTACTAGTACGTGATCTTGGCATAGTTCTGCCGTTCGGACTTACGAACGCACCAGCTACTTGTCAGAGACAAAACAACAGCATTCTAGAGGACCTTCTAGGAGTGACTGTTATCTGTTACCTAGACGACATTCTAGTGTACTCGGAACGAAAGGAAGAACATGAGGGACACGTTAGAGAAGTCCTACGGAGACTCGCTGCCGTAGACTCCCGCCTTAAGCTATTAAAATGCGAGTTTAGAGTAACTTGTACTATCTTCCTTAGATATGTGATTAGCCCCGGTTAGATAGAAGTTAACCCGGAGAAAATTAAAGCTATCGTAGAATAGAAATCACTAGAAAACGTTAAAGACGTCTAATCATTCTAGGGATTTACTAACTTTTGTCGATAGTTTATAGTAGACTACGCCGGATTGTCTAAACCCCTAACAGACTTGACCAGGAAAGACAAGACATTCTCCTAGGACAAGGCGACGGAACAGGCTTTTTAGGACATTAAGAAACGATTCGCTAAGGAACTAATCCTTAGGAATCACGACGTCGACAAACCAAGCACTGTTGAGACAGATGCTTCGGACACTGCTATTAGAGCTGTACACTTACAGCCTAACGAGAACGGGAAGTTATTACCTGTTATATACTTCTCGAAAACACTAACCCCGCTTAGCAAAATTATAGTATCTTTGAGAAGGAATTTCTCGCGATAGTCCTTGCTTTAGAGCATTAGAAGATTTACCTCTAGGGTGCAAGGCACTAGGTAATAGTCCTTACTAACTATAAGAATCTAAAGACATTTACAATAACCAAAGAGCTTAGTAACCGGAGACTCGCTAGGTGGTCGCAAATCCTCGCGGGATTTAATATTATAATTCGTTATATTAGCGGAACTTCGAACGCGCGCGAGCAGACACGCTTAGCCGGAAACCAGGCTATGAAGGAGATAAAGAATATAAGAGGATTGCGATCTTAAGGACTCTTAAGAACGGAGACCTTGCTCTAACGATTTATAAGATCGCTACTACAACTAGGAAGAGTCCCTAGGACAATAAAATCAAAGTAGTACAAGTGTAAGACGGAATCGAGGAAACAAAGAACGGCAAGATCTGGGTCCCGGACTTATACGCAGAGTAATTCATTGCGGAATACTATACGGCACCGGCCTATAGACATTAGGGAGTTCGCCGAACTCTCTAACGAATTAAACGGAACTACTACATCGAGGGGGTAGCGGCCGTGGTCAAGGAAGTAATAGCGAAGTGTAATACCTGTATTAGGAACAAGGCTTCCCGCTATGTACCTTATAGACAGATAGGCACTACTCCGATACCACCAACCCCTTAGAAATCGATCTCTTAGGATTTTATTGTAAAGTTACCGAAATCTAAGGATCCGATAACAGGAGTTGAGTATAACTCGATCCTAGTTATTATAGAAAGGCTGACTAAATACTTAATCTTAGTGCTATACAAAGAATCAAGTATAGCCGAGGAATTGGCATTCGCATTCCTTAAGGAGGCAGTCTCGAAGTATGGGTTACTAGAAGAGATAGTCTCGGACAGAGATAAACTCTTTACCTTATTGTTCTAGACAGCCCTTACGGAGCGCTTAGGAGTAAAAAGAAAGCTGTCGACAGCATTTCATTCACAGACAAATAGAGGAAACGAACGTATGAATCAAGTAGTTAAGACATACCTTCATTGCTATGTTGAATCATTAACAAGACGATTAGGTTGAACTACTGCCGCTAGCAGAATTTGTATATAATAGTTTAATAACGGAAACAACACTTGTTACGCTATTCTACGCCAACTTTAGGTACGAATTAGAAGCGTATCGAGAACCGTTAGCTACGACAATAGACGATTAACTTGCTCGTATCTAGGTCTCGAAAATCAAAAGTCTATATAAGGAACTCGTAAGTGAATTGTAGTTCGTAGCAGAACGGAACGCGTACTACTACAACAAACGACGTAGTCAGGAGCCAACGTAAAAAGAGGGGGATAAAGTCTACCTTATACGGAAAAACATTAACACAAGGAGACTAAGTAACAAACTAGACTATAGGGTCTTAGAATAGAATAGAATTAGAAATACCGAACCTTAAACCGTGGGAAATTTTATAATATGAGTAGTGGAGTACAGTATATAAATTTGAAAGAAGGGGATCGAAGTGGAAGCGAGGTGTAGGCGATCAAGCGAGTTAAAGGTACTATAACCCCTTTTTTGTGATTAACTTATAAGAGTCCGAATTCCCACGCTTTTCGAAAGAGGATTTTGAGCTACGAAATTCCTTCTTGATATTTGGGAGATAGTGCTAGTTCCCGGGTGACTGGGGAGTAATAAGTAGTGAAGTGATCACTTTGTTTGTGCGTCGTTCTTTCTCTGATATAAGGGTTGTGGATATATAAAGATTTTGTACTCGCATATGGTACTGAAACTGACCTTCTTCTGGCTCATATACAATCTTTAGAGGATTCGTTTAACATGTTCGTTTCACTATGCATAAAATCGTAGGTGGAAATTCCATCCAATTAACTGACAGTTGGAAACTATCTTTAGCCGAGTGCCGAAAAACAACAGAACAAATCTGGAGCAGAACAGATACCAGTCTATCAAAGATATTTACAACACAGTCTACTCTTTCTTATCTCCAACAACCCACTACTCCAAACCTACCCCCTCACCAATCCAACCACCGTCCCATTCCGACTACTAGTCGAAACCCTCAACTCCTCCACCCACTCCACCACCTCATCTCTACACTCCACCGCCCTCCACTCCCTCGCCATCCTGGCCAAAACATACGCAATATCCACCTCCGCCAAGTTCTTCGCCGGACAAGTCCTCGGTCCATATCCAAAAGGGATATAACTCCCGATTCCAGGCTTGAGATCCTCCCAACGTTCGGGTCGGAAGACTTCTGGATCGGGCTGGTAGCACTTTGCTATTCTACCGACTGCATAACTGGATGTTGTGATCTTGGTGCCTTTTTTGACGAAGATGGGGGATGTTTTGGAGGGGCCTCCTCCGGCGGGGAGGATGGTGTCGGTGTAGGTCATTAGTGTCATCATGCTTGCGACGGGTAGAGTCGAAGTGCTGGACAAAGCGTTAGTAAGATAATATAACACTATCACGTGTATGAGAAGACTCACTCTCTTTCACAATACCCTGTAAATAACCCATCCCCTTCAAACGATCAACAGTCAAAGGCTCCTCTCCCCCCGCCAACACTTCTTCCCGCAGTCAGTCTCTCCCATCTCAACGGATGCCGAGAAAGCTGGAACATCGCATTCCCAATCGAAATCACACTCGACTCATGGCCCGCAAGAAAGACATGCATGATCTGATTGCGTAGATTCTCCCGTTTATCCGTTTGCATAGCCATCTCATGAAGTAGAACATACCTCTTCCCCGGCTCGTCATCTCCTACCTCGTCCATATCACCAACCTTGGCGTCTTTAGCTGCTAAGCGAGACCTTCGATACTCGATTGCTTTATCAACATAGCAATCCGCAAACGCATGCGCGACTTTCACGGATTCCCGCCATTTCCTGTCTCGGTAGAGGAAAGCCAGTTTACCGAGTTGCAGCCGTCTTCCCGTCCCCTGCTGCGCATAATGGAATGCATCGAGGAATTCCTGTGATGCGGTAGGAGTCTCCTCATCCAGAACCCCCATCGATTCTCCAAAGAGGAAAAGTGTCGATGTATCAATGAACTATCGTATCCTCAGCAATCTCACAACAACAAAAAAAGAAATGAGACAAACCAATTTACAAAGCAAAGGCTTCAAATCCACCGTCTCCCCACCCCTAGGCAACAAATCCAAAAACCTCAAAAACGCCCCCTCAAAAGCCTCCAAATTCGCCACATTCGCCCTCCCAAACGTCGGCCTCAACAGCGCCCTCGACAGCTCCCAAAACACCCCATCCATCGTAAAGACGCTCTCCCCAAGAAACGGCAGCGTCGCATCCCTCCTCAGCGGCTGGACCCCAAAATCGTGGAAGTTCGTCGACAGGATCGTCTGCAAATTCCTCGGATCGACGGTACAGATTGCAGGCGCACCCAGGAAATTCGCCGAAAAGGTAGCACCGTGTTGTTGGAAACGTTGGAGCCATGTTGTTAACAGCCTGGACTCTTTCGCGGCTTGGATGTTGGCCCTGAAGAGGTCGGTGCCGAGGATGGGGTCTTTGTGGGGGTATTTGGGTGGGGGGAGGCAGTTGTGTTGGGTTTTGAGGGATTGGCGATGTTTCCGGGTTTGGAAGGTGGTGAGGGTGGTGAGGGTGTAGTATATCGCTAGAATCACTAGGATTTGAGGGCTGAATGTGTGTAGATATCCCATGTTAGCAAGAAGGGGGCTTAGTTGAGTAACCGGAGAATCAGGCGGAAAAATGTACTTCGTTGCGACGAGAAGGATATATGAAGATAGTTGCGGGTTCCCACAACATCCAACAGCTACAGATAGACGAAGATAGTGTTAAGATCCACAGAATCCCCGTTTAATGCAGAGGTGGTATGCGAGTGTAATCACCAACATTTCCCCCACTTAGACTGGAAGTCTGAAAAGTGTTGGAATAATATCCAGAGAGGTCCTGAGGATTGATGTCACCATTCATGCGAGAGTGGGAACTAATCAAGTGGTAGGTAACGGTGCTCTGAACCCAACCAGCACCTTCCTATTTAAGATGAATACTTGTTACATCCGAGTCTCAAGAAGAAATGACTTCCAAACCACAACCTCCCCAATTCTCCAATCCCACCTCTATCCTACACTACCGAACCATATTAATAATACATTATTTTTCCAATCTTCCAATAGTTAATCAAAAACAAAAGCGTTGAATAAATATCCATCACATATCTCAGCCCTCTAATTAAAGAAATAAGTAATATTATTATGTAATCGTCATTCATTCATTAATTCACACCAAATTCTGTTGACGGATAAAACTCCCCGATCCCATCGCATCCCTCCAAAGATGTACTTTTCTCCCTTGTATCCCAAGTATGTACGAGTACGTATGAGAGGTGCAATAGCTGTTTTTGTTACACGTGTACTACCTCCATACACCAATAATCAACCCATGCCCAAACACCACCCCTAAAACATTAAAGAAACTCGTATCTCATTCGGAATCAACAGTATCTTGGTTTTTATAGGATTTGGTTTGAGTCATAGGACCCAGATTATCACTTCTGCGACAATTCCAAATCTTTGCATTGGAAATACCGCCAAATGGGTTTCGAAACATCAGGGTAGTACGAAATACTACGTCAATCACTCGACAGGCGCAAAAAACCTGCTAGCTTCGATAATCTGCTCATCGCCGTTGGCAAAGTCCCAGCCAACAATGACGGAAGTCTGGGAACAACAGATGATTCTTCTTGCATCGAACTGCAGCTTAAAAACTCTCGCCATGTTTGCTGGAAGATGGTGATGATGATGATGATGGGTTGGAGGGTTGGCCGGGGCTGCTTGTACAGTTGCCGGGACAGGAACCGGATTGGCATCTGGAAGAGTACCAGGAATAGAATCTGCATTCTGTGGGGCGGCTGGTGGTTGCATTGGCGCTAGGGCCGAAGCCGAAACTGGGGCGGAAGGGAGAGTTTGGGCAGGAGACGTTGAAGCATTCGCTTCTTGTTGAGTTGCGGGTTGAGAGGCGGTCGACGAAGCAGCACCAAATGGTTGTTGACGGGACTGCATTGCGTGCGCGACAACTGCCGACATGGCTTGTTGGAGTGGTCCAGAAAGAGCTTGAATTGCTTCGCCCAAATGTGGGTGGTTGAGGATCTGAGGATGCACATGAAGGCCATGCCTCAAGGCGACAGGTCCCTGAGGAATTATTAAGTCAACTAAATGACGATAGAAAGTATCATCCACTTGCGCGCTGCTGTTTGGTGCAGAGGTATTTTGGGAGGCTGTGGGTGTGGTTGTATCCACAGTGTCCATGGACATAGGTAACGAAGTCGGTGCTGCTTGTGTATTGGCACTCGGTGTATGGTTAATTGCTCGGAATTCTCGCGAGGCATTGTTTGCAGCTTCCTCTTGTCTCAAGGTATGCTGAGCACGCCAAACACCCTCTTTATCTCGACGCCAAATGATAATGGTTTCATCATAAGAGCCAGAAACTATACGACCAAACTTGCCACCACCACCTCCAGGAGGCAACGAAGCGCCATAGGCCGTTATGTCTTCTGGCCTCCTTGAGCCAGCATTTCTTGGGCGACCTCTCTGTTGGTACATTTCTCTAGTGATAGCTCCAGACTCCAATGCTTTGAAAAACTGGCCATCAATATTTTTGGCAGATTGCTGGTCGTCTTCTGTGCTATAAGGCAGATCACCAAATCCTGCTTGAACTGTACGTACGAGGTGTGAGTGACCTCGAAGACTTGCGACTTCTACTCCAGACACTCTGTCAAAAACCTTGACTTCATTGTCGCTACTTCCACTAACAATTCTTCGACCGTCGTATTGAACACATGCGATGCCCTTGGTATGACCAATCAAAGTCTTGGTCAACTTTTGATCCTTCCAATTCCATACTTTGACTGTTCGGTCACCAGAAGCAGAAACAATTTCATCGCCGTGAATTTGAACAGCATTTACTGCTGCATGATGGCCTTCTAAACATCCTATCAATGTGTATGCTGGAATTAAGCCTGCTGTCGGTGAAGGGTTCAAGCCATAATTGTTCAAATATGTTGGAACAGGGTCAACGGGATTAGAAGGTCCGGGGAATTTGGTATCTCCTGGATGAATAGATCTTCGATTAAAAATTTTGATGGTTTTGTCCTTTGAGCATGTAATTAAAACACGTTTGTCGAACCTGACGTTGAGCACTGATTCTCGATGAGCTTTTCTTAGTCGTTGTATGATCTGACCAGTAGAAAACCGCCATAGAACCACTGTAGCATCGCTACTTCCAGATACGATCAAATCCTCTTCAGGATCGGCATCAAATTGAAGACACAGAACAGATCCACTGTGTGCACGTAGAGGAGAACGGACAAGGCGTTGGGTATTAAGATTCCAGATACGGAGAGTTTGATCCCTACTACCACTGACTAGGTATTTGCCGCAGTGTTGAATGGTATAAATGCACTCCTGGTGAGCCTCTTCCGGATATTGTGGGTGTGGTAATTGAAAGTTGACGTATTTTTCAGCCTCCCAATTTGCTTCGAGTCGCCTCCTTTGAGAGTAAAGATACTGCCAATTAAGCTTCTTTCGTTTATCTCCCCTATCCACTACAACCAAAGAAGACATATTGGACAGATTACCAGAGTAGCGAGAATAGGTTGGATCAATTGAATCCGAGCTTCGTTGAATAGATCCGGATGAAAATCTTGTTGTATTACGACTGGGAAATTCAGAAGATTTACTCGCTTGTGAGCTTGTGTAACCCTTTGGGGAGACCATTTGAATATCTGTATCTGACTTTGAGGCAGCAGGATCAGCCTGCTTAGGCTCCGAGGTTAAGACAGGACCGAATATTGATACTGGGACTGGTGCTGGCGCCGAATCTGCGTCGATCATTTCATAATCGTCGTCAGTGTGTAAAGTTGGGATTATTCTTTGTGGCGTAGCCCTTCTTTTGCTGTCATGCTCAGAATCACTCGTCGGTCGGGATCTGTCGTCGTTGGCGTTTATAGCAAGTTCAAACTTTTGCACCTCTGATCTAATCACTCGAAAGCCTTCCATCATATATAGTGCCTCCCAAAGCCTTCTGTCCAGGGCCAGACGCATCCATTCTCGTGATGCACGAGCGGTATGTATTAAGGATATTGGATCAAGGAACCCGAGAATTTTTAAGCAAACCTCTGGAGGCAAGTACTGGAAGAAGTTGATATAGAGTCGAGGACGCAATCGATTAACTATTTCACAGAGTGCCGAGGTAGGTAGCTGGTCGATGAGGCCCATGACATATTCTATGGAAAATCAGCATCAGAAAACCCAGCAATTCGTTCAATGAAGAGTCGACATACCAGTACGCTCTGGCACTGTCATCTTAGACAGCCAGAGAGGCGTTGGCGTGTTAGCTGTTGCGCCCATTGTTAACGGGTCTTCGCTGTAGCCTTCGTCTGGTGGCGATGGTTCGTATGCCGCCATTTTCAGAAAGGGGCGGAAATTATTCTTGAAATTCGGTTGAAGATACAGGGCTTAAATAGCTCCTTCCCCGTATTCTTTTGTGCCCTCGTGCGCGCGACTCGTGAATGTCAACAAGTCGTGGTCGTCGCCGTAGCCGTGACCGCAAGCGCAGTTTGGTAGTATATGGAGTATGTGAGTTAAGCCCACGAGGCTGACTTGTTCGGCCAGGAGCACTTGGCTCACTTGGGCGACGCTCAATCGGGTTGCGGCGTGGATCAGACGGGGACAACAGTTCGCGGCTTGGAGTGGAGAAGGCTGGTGACTTGAAGGCCTGATTGACTCCACCGCGTTGCGTGGTTGAGGTACGAGAAGGGAGGGGAGAAACGAATTTTCGGGTGCAGCTGGAAATATGGGGTATGAGGGGCGCGCAAAGGGGGAAGGTGTAACCCTTATATTATGATGCGTTTCCGTATGCGATGTTGGAAACTGGTGATGTTCTCAGATTTTCAGGGTTGAGCCCAGAATGGTTGAATACTGGTTTGAGCTGGCACTGGTGCTGGCAACGGGCACGAGGGCATCATCAGAATCGCCTCTGCCAAGTCCTCTCAACGCACGGCAGCCGGAGATCTCAGCGCATCAAAATCACGTGGCCCATAAGTTTGCAAAATCTGGGCTCCAGAAGGGCTGCCCAAATCTGGAAGCCAGTAACCACCACACCACTTCACACTACACCACCCTATGTTTTAAGTACTAATTGGTGACAAACCTAGGGATCGTCGCTGTTATTATGAACGCAATTTGTTCACATCATTTCGCCATAATCAGAAAATTTCCGTTGAGATAGCGGGGTCACATTATGTCATCCACGCGCGACGTGTACGTAGAAACTTCAAGTAAATTGCCTTGTGAATTGTGCTTTTAATTCGCCATTATCATAACGCCTCGTAAGGTCATTGCCATGCTAAAAAACGAAAATCCTATTACACAGAACCAGGCACTCCAGGGACAAAACCGAAAACATAAACCAGAATCTATGATGATTCCTTGATCTCGGCAATTCTGGTCTTGACTCTCTCCATCTTCTCGGCCTTGCTCAACTTGCGTCCCTTGTACTTGAGTGACTCCTTCTTGTACTCGTCCTTGGACTTCTTCTCACCAGCATCGTCGACCTTCTTGTGTGGGTCCTCACGGATGGCCTTATGAGCCTCCTGGTACAATTCCTCCAATCCATCAGCCTCTATCTCATCATCGATATAGCCCTGGAATTGGGACTTGTATCGCTCCTCATCGTCATCGGCCAAGGTCTCCATGTACTCAGCGACGTGTCCAGCGTAAATGTATTTTCGGAGGGTCTCAGCGTCAAGCTCCTTGGTCTCCATGTCGTAACCTGGGAAACGGTTCTCGGAGTGAGGAACGAGGATACCACCGTCAGAGGCACCCTTCATGGCACCGAAAATACGGGCACCAGTGGAGGTTCGGTGAAGACCAACATCGAGGAAGGCCTTGAATGGTCGTCGGGACTCATCACCCTCGGAAGCCTCAGTGAGTGTGTACTCTCCATCAGCCTCTTCAACACCAGTAAAGTCCTTGTCCATACCGAGCTTGGCGAGGACACGACGGGCGATAAGAAGACCAGTGCAGTAAGCAGCGGCCCAGTTGGTAAGACCGTGCTCAATGCCATAAGCCTTGAGTTCGTGGGAGTAGGCAGCGCAGAAGACTTTGTCACCAGTGATCTCGGAGGTTACGATTTGCATGACAATGTCGCGGTTGGTGAATCGAACGACGAGACGGTATTTTGGTGCATTGTACTTGTTCTTGGCCTGGGTGATGAGACGCTTTCGTGCGTAGTAATCGGTCTTTCCGGAACGACGGCGCTTATACTTGGTTTGGTAGCGACTGAGAAGATTTTGTTAGTTTTTTAATTATTCGATATTCAAAATTAACCATGGATTGAACTTACCTGTAGTACGCCGAGTTCTTAACCAGCTTGGTGAAAGGCTGTCATCCTCGAGTCAGCAATTGGCATTTCAGATACAAGATCCGAACATCTTGCAATAGACTTGGAGCGTTTCTGCTCATGCGAGGAAAAGGAAGCTTTCAGGTCTGTAGCTGCATCTTGGGGATGTCGTCTGCTACAAATGTAGCGGATCGTTTGGTGATGATCAACTTACCATCTTGATAGATTGGCCGCACAATTGCTGGAATCTGGTGGATTGTCGAAAAGTTTGGAGAGGAACGAATCTTCAAATTTCCAAAAATGCAAATGTGCGATAACACTATGCAGGGCACGCGATAGGGGAAATGGTGGGGGACGAGCACGTGATAAATTCCAGGTGCAGATGGATAGGCAGGGGTTCCCGATAGGCAACAATGTAAAAGCGGCAGCACATTGACCTCAGCCCGCCTCCTACCTCGGGTCATCCTTCCATTAACAACTTCCATTGAACTTCAACTTCCTCTGTGACCAACCCCTCCTTTGTGACCAACATTCTCATGTCGCAAGAAGATTTCCCTATTGAGTTTGTTCTAGATAGCATAGAATCAGTCATGTCAGCCAAGCAACCAAAAGTCTTGTCAGTATTGCTGCGTGCCTCTCACAGCTGATTGGGAGATTACTAAACATCACTCTAGATTATTTGATATTGGAGGTGTTTGTGTAAGTATTTTCGTTATGAAAGTCTCAGTTTCCATAATTGTTGGATTGGGTATCTTTTGGCTTTCAACCTGCCTCACAATTCCATATTGTCATCCTACTTGTCGAGGGCTTCAAGGGAGCATAACTGTTGTCAACCTATGTTGATGAATAACCGAGTGTTCTATTTGTTTGGGATTTTATTTCATTTCCGGAATGAATCTATATTTACTATTCATTCGATGAGACTTACTGCGGAGCATTCGTTCAATGCTCTCCAAAAGCCCTTACAGGCCGGCATTTGAAGCAGTCTGGGGTAATCGTTGCAATCATTATGAGATTTCGAACATTCATGAATGGGTATTTGGATCTCATCTTTTGAACGTAACGATTACCTCTGGCTATTTCACATGATTATCTCACCAATTGGGTGTAATAAACAGAATGACATAACATCATGCTGGAGGATGATGATGTATCACAACGGTGTTGAACATGTATAATCCAAGGGATTCCTCAACTAAAAGATGGTTCATATTATGGTACTTAAGAGTTTCACTCTGCCTCATTTGGCTCAAGGAACCAAGAACCCAAGGGTGGATAAGTCAAAGTAGTCTTTGATCTCTTCGAAAGCCCCTTCATCGAGCCCAAAGTTTCAAAGGACAAGTTCATCAGCACCAGTTGGCAAACCTTAAGCCCTCAAGCCAGACCTTCAGAAAAGATGCTTCATTTAATCAACTTGCAGCACATTTATATGATATATTTCCAAACACACATCTCACTCTCAATTCCTCATTAAACATCCCAATATCACATCTTAAAGGCAATTCTTCCACTAACACACGCCTCCTAAGGTCGTCTCCCCCTTCCAAGCAATCCTCAACTACGAAAAAGCAAACAACATCCCCCCAGGCTGGATAAACCACTCCATCTCCCGCTCCGCCCCCTCTGGATCCTTCCAACGTCTCGAACGGGGCGAGATCCTCCTAGATCACCACTTCTTTACTGGATTCTCCTCCGACCTCCACAACCCAACCCTCTGGTCCGATTTCTACACCCATAAAGCCCTCCCATCCAATCCCACACTACCTAAACTCACCCCACCCCTCCCAAAAGTCGAAGCCGAATTCGTCTTCTGGGAAATGATGAACATGTCCAAGACCCCAGACCCATGGATGCATCCCGCGCTCCTCAAACTAAAAGAAAGCAAAAGATTCATCTTCGGCGCCTTAAGCAACACCGTCATCTTCCCGCCCTCTTGCCCCCTCTCCGCCGTCCAAGCAGAGGGTGTACGTTCCCTCTTCGACATATTCATCTCCTCCGCCCACGTCGGACTTCGCAAACCCTCACCCGAGATCTACGCCCTCGCTTTAGAAAGACTAAACGCCTTTGCTTTGCAGAACGCTGACAGGAGGGGACGTGGTCTCGGCTGGGAAACGGGAGTTCGAGCGGAGGAAGTGTTGTTTTTGGATGATATTGGGGAGAACTTGAAGGCGGGGAAGAAGGCGGGGTTTAGGACGTTGAAGGTTAGTCTTGGGAGGGCTTTTGAGGCTGTGGATGAGTTGGAGAGGATTACAGGCTTGCAGTTGGCGGGGAGTCATCCGAGGGTTGTGGGTGAGGTGCAGGGTGAGAAGGCGAGGTTGTAGGTTGTGGTTGGGTAGAGCTATTCATATTTTCTTCTCTAGAGTCTTTTGTTTTGAGCTTCTCGTATAAAGTGATATTCCCTTACCAATACTAGAAGGCAGATAGAAAGAGTGTATTAAGACGAACTACGAGTACAATCTTCTTTTTTCATAGGAACTTTCATCATGGACTCGTTCTATACTACTAAATGATTCATAAATCATATCATCCCCCCTTTCCACCATCTGTCACTCCCAAACCATCAACCCATTAGTACATTACAACAGACAATACCTATACCTCTACAATAATCCAACCCAGTCTTTCCATCACTTCCTAATCTCGAAAAGACTTCTATTAGTAACTACACCCCACACACCATAACCTCAACAACTTCATAACTTCATATAGGTACATATTAAAAAAACAGAAAATCCCATACCCAAAAAAACTCCCTGGCTACTCCCACAATCTCATAAAGGAAATCCTATTCTTACCCATAACACAACCCATCAATTCCAGTATCTTACCACAATACTATCCAAACCCATCAATTGAATTCTAATCCCAGTACGTTAGTAACACAACACAGCAGCAATAGCACGAGGACTTCCCGCATTTTAAACCAATCCAGTCCATCGCATAACATCCACCAAAACAAGTTCCAGCAAAACCTAGCCTTCAATCTAACCCCCATCCCCATCCCCATCCCCATCTCCATCTCCATCTCCATCTCCTTATCACACACCAATCCAGTCCATCCAGAATCTCCCACCTTATATATTATACCCAAAATCAATAACCTACAGTATGTCCCTTACCTCTCAAGTTGCTCCAAAAACTCCAAAAATCGGAAGAAGAAGAAAAAAACAAAAGGAGACTTTTTCGTACGGTAGGGTATTCCGGATTTCTACGAGATTCTCTAAAGGACGGGTGGGCAGGTAAAGAAAAGAGAAGAGGGATGTCGATTTCCGTTTTTGAGGATCTATATTTATATGGCGTGGATATTTCTGGAGGCGGTACAGTAATAGATAAATAGTCAGGGGTAACCTTGGATCCAATGCGTATGAAAGAAAAGGATGGAAATGTTAAGAAGGCAGGAGATTATCCAAAAAGTCCGGACAGAAAGTACAGATACGAGTATGAAAAAGTATCTCGAATGCAAAAGGGAGTCATGCTGTAATGTCATCAACGTCATCAAGTTTGTAATTTTATGTGTGGAAAAAAAAACAAGGCCCCATCATGAAGAAAGGACTTATCTAGGCCCCAATTTCTCCAACACCCTCGTACCTTGTTCCTCCCACTCGGCTTTCGTAATCCACATGTTCTCCTTGTCCGCCATGATATTCGCCAGAACTGCACCACCCAAGAAAACCATATGTCTTCTCCTAGGTGGATCCTCGATTCGGACTTTGAATTTGCCCAGTCGCTCCGGGTTTCCACCCAACACCTTTGTCAGCCATAGTTGCTTGAGCTCTTTTTCTAGTCGCGATGGAAGACCTGGATACATGCTACTTCCGCCAGAAAGAACAATTGCCTTGAAAAGTGATGATCGCACATCCACATCTGCGGCTTGGATAGTGTTGAAAAGGAATTCCGCGATACCCGGTTGTTCAACGTCCACTAGATGAGGTTGGAACAGACATTCTGGGGCCTCGAAACGTTCACTTCCTACGCGAATCACTCGGCCGTCGGGGAGAGTGTAGCTTTCTACTAGAACCGTCGTGTCCTCACTCAACTTCTGGTCCAGTTCCAAATCGTAGGAAACATAGCAGAGCTTCTCTTTGATCTGTCGCACCGTCTCGAAATCTGCTGTTCGGTTAAGGGCATATCCGCGACGAAGCAGGAGTGCAATTAGATTGCGCGTGACGTCTCGACCAGCAACATCCAGTCGTCTTGTAAGGTGGTTGAGAACGACTGATTCGTAGACAGGAACGATATGGGTGACTCCATCACCAGAATCTACCACCACTCCAGAGCTAAGACCTATGACTGTGTTAACACAGCCCCATAGTATTGCACGCCTCCAAGCTTACCTTGGGCATATAAAGCCAGCACGGCCTGGATTGCTACGTAAACGCCTCCAAACTGATACCTCTCAAACATGACCTCGCACATCTGCTCCCGATTCCTCAAGGGATTCATGGGCGGTTCTGTAAGTAAGATCTTACGACCTGTAGGATCAACCTTCATCTTTTCGTAAAAAGTGTAATCCCAGAGATGCTGCATATCATCCCACTTCTTCACGATGCCGTTTTCCATGGGGTAAGAGACTTGCAGCATTGTCCGGGCAGCGGCTGCCTCATCTCCGCACATGATATCTTTGATAACGAGGCCATCGTTGCCCTTCTCTTCGGATCGCAGGATGGGTCGGCCGACAATCGAGGGATACTGGAATTCGGGGAAGTTCTACCAGAGGAGACGTACTCAGTTCTGAGCTGCTTGATGACGGGTGAGGTGAGGGAGGAACGCGCATACCTGGGCGGCGTAGCCAACTTTGAGGAAACCAGTTCCTCCATCAAGAACTGGGGATAGTGTTAGCCAGCGTGGTATAGGTGAGGAGGAGGAGCAGGAGCAGGAGTAGGAGTAGGAGCAACGGTGAAGCTAGGAGAGAGACAGTTTTACCTATTGGAGGTTCGGCCATGGTTGTAAGTGACCTGGGGGAGTTGTGTATGTTTTGAGGAGGTGTACACGAAAAGGTCGGTCGGGTACTCAGTAGAGCTGTGAGCTGCACAGGTGCGGTAATGTGGGGGTGAGCCTTCTCAAGGTTGCAGACACTCGCTTGCCTGCTTGCCGTCAAGTCCCCTTCCCAGTCCGCCAGTCCAGTCTCGCTGGGCCAGTCCGCCACATAGCAACCCCTCGCCTAGGGGAGCTTGCAAGGAAGTGATGCCAAGCCAATGGCTGTCAATGCAAACCCAATCACGTGCTAAATCGGAAGCGCTTGCCATCTTTCTTAGTCGCTGGCTGGCACGGCTGGACACTGGACAGTCCACCAGTCAATAGCTCGCATCACTCTGAGACACTAAGACTCCGACTCCCTCGAGACTCCCGCTCCGCTGCCCTCGTCGAGAATCAAAGGAAATACGACAACACCACCGACTCTACCCCCCCTACACCCCACCTTCTTACCTCCTCAACCGACTGACAACAACTTCCCACGCCAAATCGGACCTTCTTGTGCACAAAGAAGAACGGGTGGTCGCATTCACGACACAACAACCGGCGTGGCTGCGACCGACCGACGTCGAATCTGTACGCAGGGTGTCGTTGAAAGTTCATGTCCTCCTCCAACGGTGGTGTCGCCATTGGTATGGCTCAGGCTCATGGCCCTCTGTCAAGGACCAATACTGCACCAGTATTCACAGCAAGAGCGAACGGCGCACCAGCCATAAATCAAACAATGAGTGGTTCCAGTCGATCTTCTCAAATGTCGGCTCCTTCAGCTACATTTACCTCGTCCTCCTCAACCACGTCCCTAGCATCGTCGCAATCCAGCTCATCCACCATTATGCCCCCTACCTCGAGCGGCCCGGTTCAAGCGACCAACAACATCATCAACCAGAAAGCCGACGCATCGAGATCTCTTTACCAGATATGTGTGAGTCTACGTAGTCGGTTGACCCAGGTCCCTGGTTTCGACGCACATATAAAAGATTTATTACAGGAAGATCCAGGGGAGGATATGGATCCAGTTTCGTCGCTATGGAGGTGTTTACGAAGAGGAACCCCGCTTCTAACAATCTACAATTCTCTCCGACCACCCATTCCACTCCACCTGGCTGAGGAGAGTATGCCTGTGGCCAGCCGACCAAAGAACCTACCCAAGAAAGCAGCATTTAAGTTTGTGGAGGCTTGTTTGAAAGGAGAACTGCTGCTGGATTCTGGAGAGTGCTTTGCCTTGACCGATTTATTTGGCGACGATACGACTGGATTTGTTAAGGTCAGTAAAGTTCATGCAAATTTTCTTTATTCTTCAAGATATTCACTACGTTATACCCCTCACCTATCTATGGATAATCTGTCAACTTGTTCATTTCCTTTCCCCCTGTCGGATCCGATTATTGTCACTATCAGGGATAATGCTCTAATTCACTCGGTGTATTGCTTGTCGCCCTTACTTATCTCGCTTGCTTACCTCCCTTGCTTCACCACCTCACCACCTATGAATTTCACTACTATACTTCTTTTTCATGGGCTATCTCCCTCACGTATTGTTACAAAAGCTAAAAGATACTCCTATAAAGGTTACTCAAGTCATCAACAAAGTACTTGATAAAGCTGAAGAACAAGGATTTCTTGAAGTAGCGAGAATGGATGTACCGCCAACTCCAACTGCAACAACCGGTGGCCAGAAGAGTTACCGTGATCATGTCGTAGGAGAGCTGGTTGATACAGAACGAAAATACGTACAGGATTTGGAAAATCTCCACGAGTTGAAGAAAAAGATTGAGCAGAAAGGGGTTATTACTGGTGACGTGGTTCACGACATATTTCTCAACATCAACGCAATATTGGACTTCCAAAGACGATTCCTCATCAAAATTGAAACCACCAACTCCCAGCCAGACAGTCAACAGAAATGGGGCCTCCCTTTCACCAATTACGAAGAATCCTTCAACATATACAAACCATTCATTGCCAACCAACGTAAAGCTGCAGATATAGCAAAGAAGGAGTTTGAAAAGATAAAATTAGCCGATCACCCGGTCGTCGTCGACTTCAACACTTTAGATGGATTCCTCCTGAAACCAATGCAACGTTTGGTCAAGTACCCCATGCTGCTCAAGGTTTGTATCCCCCTTTACACTTGTAAAGAAAATAGCTCACCAGGTTAGGATCTCCGTGACAAGACCAACGCCAGCGAAGAGACGAAAGCAGACTTGACTTCTGGCATTGAAGCATCAAACAGAGTCCTCAAAGAAGCCAATGACGCCGTTGATCAAGAATTACTACGTGAAGCTAGAGAGGATATGGAGTCTCGCGTAGAAGACTGGAAAAATCACCAAATCGACCAGTTTGGCGACCTTCTCCTCCACGGTCACTTTCCGGTTGTCAATGGCAAAAGCGATGGGCAAAAAGAAGTACGACCCCGCAAAAATTCCAAAAAATTCCAATTCTTCAGCATGGACTCTAAGCGCAAGGCGCCGGAGACTACGATGCGCCGATCTGAGTCGTCCACCGCTAGTGGGTGGGAAATGATATCCATTCCAGATGAAGTCGATGACCAGCGTTTAGACTCTCCCACTGAAGTTGAAGGGCGCTCCTTGAACCAATTTTTCTCAGATAAGATCTTTCATGAGTTTCTGGGTCGTGATAGAGGATCTGGGGAGCCCGCTCTTGCAAAAAGCTATGCTGACAGTATGGGCATCATCGCCCCTTTCTATGAACAGTACACGATTTACCTCTTCGAACGAATTCTCCTATGTTGCAAGGAAGTCAACCCGAACAAGTCAAAGGATAAGTATATGGGTGGAACTCAAAAGGACAAAAAAGATAAGTCAAAAGGAAAGGAACCTAACAAGAATTTAAAGCTTCAACTCAAAGGACGAATCTTCATGACCAACGTTACAGACGTTCTCTACACTGCCAAACCAAGTGCCTGTACCAAACTCTTCTTTGACAGCCTCCCGCTAACCTCTTGTCAGGCTCTTACACGGTTCAGATCTTCTGGAAAGGTGATCCAGGAGTCGAAAATTTTATGATTCGCTTCTCAAACGAAGACTCGATGAGAAAATGGCATGCAGGCGTTGACGCACAAAGAAAGGTGCATGCCCAGAGCTCGCAGAATATGAGCCCGGATGCAGGTCCAGCTGATTTTGCATGGATGCGAGACCAGACAGCATCTATGCCAAATCCATATGCGCAACAGGAAGAAGAGGACGAAGAAGACGAGTATCACGTCCAAACACCACTCTACCCGGGACAGATGAATCAAATGTTGCCGCGAAACCCCTCCAGCTCAAGTTTGCGAGCAAGATCTGCCACTAACGATAGTGCCCAATCGCTTGCCGGCATTGCCCGCGCGCCTCCGCCAAGATTCCCCATCGGCATCCAGAACCCTCCACTGAGTGTACAGACACAAGCAATGCCTTCACCAAATCAAAGGTCTGGCGACTCATACTTCTCGCCTGTCGCTGAGTCTCCTGCGATTTCGGTTAGATCCAGCAACAGCTCCTCGATGTTTCCATTCCCTCGACAAGGCATTCCGCAAGGCTGGGAAGACAACAATCGATATACCGCACCCGCCATGGCAAGAGCGCCGTCGAGGGGTAGCCAGACACCAATGGACGCAGGTGCTTATCAAATGAACGGCCGCACTCCACAAAGACCATCTCTTCCTGCGATGGCTTCGCAATCGTCTCAAGGAAGCGTATCAGCCCAACGCAGTCGATCCTACTCCACACCTGACATCAACAACCAAATTGGAGTTCGGCGCCTACCCAACGGAACCCTCAGCGGCAACGGCCAGGTCCCTGCAGTTCCAGGCATACCAGCACACTTACACCCAGGCTACGACAACGGTATCCCAAGATCCCAGAACAATTCGCCAAACGGCCTACCAATGAGATCAAGCACACAATCACCTGGTGTTCAACGAGAACGTCTGGGAACCCCAACACAATACCAAGCTCCGCAATATGCCAGAGCCAACCATCAACAAGTCGCCGAAAGCAGGACCATGTCACCACCTCTACAGATGCCTGGTGAGGATGGAACCCTCCCAACTCAGCTTAAGGTGAAGGTGAACTGCGATGGAAATTACGTTACTCTTGTGGTAGCTTTCAACATCACATACCAATCTCTTATCGACCGAATTGACGCCAAGGTCGGACGGTTTTCGAACAATGCCATCGCCAGAGGCACCATGAGACTACGATATCGAGACGAGGACGGCGACTTTGTGACCATCGAATCAGATGAGGACATCCAAATTGCGTTTCAAGAATGGCGAGAGGCCCAGAAGGCACAATATCATGCTGGTCAACTTGGAGAGATTGAATTGTTTTGTCTTAGTGTTGATTAGACGAGGTCCCTTTTTTTGTTTTTTCTTTTGAAGAGTTGCGAGACACAAGCTGCTTTGATTCATCGAGGCAGGAAAGATTTATGTGTGGTCCGTCAAGTTTTTAATCGGTTTCAACCACGGCTGGAGTTTATGATTGCAACGTTGAGATGAATTTGGGACGGCAGGACAATGTTTTCATGAGTGGTTTTCTTTTTTTACTGATTCTTCACAATGGTGTTTTCGGCGTCATCTGCATAGCCTTTTCTGCAGGTACCAAAGGGCGCCAGCGACACGGTGCTTTTTTTCATTCGGGATGGGTGGCGTACCTGAAGCCTGTTTTTCTGAGCAGTGAAGAAGATATGTTTTGCTGCCGAGTCAATTGGGGAGGGTCAAATTAGCGTATACACAACGTAGCATAGAGAAAGTTGAGTTGAAAAGATACAATATAAAGTTCCACTGCTGCTATGAAATTGACATTCGTTGAAATTGATGAACATCTTGTCTCATGAACTTGTTGCCCTGTGTACACCACACCCCACATACGAATCAATCCTCTAAGGAGACTGACGAAATCATCTTTTACTGTATAGACTGCGTGGAATAATAATAGCTTATTATTCTTGATTTAATCAAGTAGCGCAGGACGCTCGAGTCAATTGTTCCAGAACCTGCGGCACAATGATTGCTTGGGATATAGACGGACGGAGTCATGACTGGGCATCTTACTTGGGCACCAAATACTCCATTTTAATGTCCTAGATCAATAGAGTCGTCCCGTAACTTTGGGAGAGAACCGTGAGTGCTTCGGTTGTAGGTTGTACCGGATGGGAATATTGAAAGGCTTTGCCTTCATTGCTATTCTCGGTGCGCGTTTCAGTATTGATTTCATTTAAAATATTAGGTGGTCAATTAGACGGGAACCAAGGTTGTTTGTTTGAACCTCTTCTCCGTCCTGGTGATCATGGTGCATCGCGGCTCGCTCTACCCAAGGCTCGTCATCTGGTTCCTGAGGTCCAGCGGGTAAATGCTCATATCGCACCACCTCATCATATGCATCGGAGTCCTCCTCAGCGGCAACCACTTCCTCAGAGGCAGGAAAATAGAGATCGGGGAGAAGATTATTAGGCACCAAATATTGACTTCCTTTCTACAGCCTTCTTTTCTATCGTATTTACTGCAAGGATTTGCGAGCGTGTAAGAAAAGATTGATGTATCAACCTCTTCCTGGAACCTTCCAATCCTATCTCGCAAGAAGAATTTACAGAGTCGAGGTGATTGTATCATGAATTTGATATTGTACAAAAAGGACTGCCTACATAACGCCCCAATATATGCCCTCGCCAGTAAGCCATCCTTTTTCTTCTAAAATGCACAATAAACCTTCGTACAAGCTTCCAGCCATCGTATCTGGCTCACTTCCTCTTCCTCGGACCGGAAATCTTGGGGTACATGCGCGATAGATGATGATTGATCGTGTTCTTCTTTTGGCTCTTGAGTCTCTGAGTTTGGTGATTGGGGTTAGTGTTTGGTCTGGATGTGGTGGGGGTTTGGAGGGGCTTACAGGCGTGTCCATACAGGTCCGTAATTGTGTTTCTAGAGCTGCGCAGCCTGCTACATTGTATCCGGATGATGCCCAACATGCTGATCCTCTGGTCAGTTATGGCAGGAAATGGGGCGGGTGGTTGTACTTAGGACGGTGCTCATTATCGCTAGGCATGGATTTGCTTCGGCTTGGTTTGGACGGCGGACTCGGAGTTTTGGGAGAGGAGGCAGGCGCATTGGCGTTAGCGCGGAGCTTCCTTTTGGTGGCATTTTGAATTGTTGGTGGGATATCAAGCTGGATGACCGTAGGTATGTGGTGACCAACGAAGGCGAGGTGTATACCAACTAAGGTTTTGCCTGTAGATGCGATTTGCCTGGTGTTGAAGCTCCAGTAACGGGAGGCTTGAAATTGTGGCGTCAGTCTAACCTAATACGGCCTAGGGGTAGTGGGTCCGCCGTTGACAGGCCAGGAAATAAAAGTAAATACTGGACAGTGCCCAGCCAACCGACCAAGCCTTCTTGCACAATTGAACCTCAACATCCAGGTTCCCCTTCGTTACCTCCACCAAACGCGTGTACCAATACCACTTTTGATAATTCATGTTCATGTCCATATTTCAGAATTCTTCCTGACAGCAGAACTACTTATCACTAAGAAGTTTTCATTGTTACAAAACTTTCTCGCGAGTATTGTTGTTGTCGTAAGCAAGCAATGGAAGGTGTGGAGGATATTTTGTCAGCGCAGGTTTTGAGCGCGACTGCGACTTTGTAATTTTCCCAAACTCCCTCCGATCCCCCCCTCATATATTTGCTTAATTACTGACCCTGTGTTAGACAAGTTTACAAGGATTCTCTCGCGCCACCACCATCAACCAAGAGGGCTTGGGAACGCGCTCCGCGATCTGCCTCTGCCCCGCGTCTCCAAGGTCAGAAGATATGGAAAAGACCTGGCCTACGGTCGCACGATAATAAGGAGAACGATGAGACCGCCATTCAAGCAGAGTTAGAGAAGAGGGGAACAGGATCAAGGAAGAAGAGGCGCATCCAAGGCGCGAAGGAAAACATCAGTGAGGCGAAATGGTCCAACAAATCCACACAGAGCAGTGATCTCGAGAATTCCAATGGCACGAAAGAATCAGCCCGGATTTTGATGGCTTTCAATGAACCAAAACGTGGTCTAATGGTTCCGCGAAAACGCACGAATGCGAACCATTTGGTCACGCCGAGAAAGGCCATGAAAAAGCGAGCTAGTCACGTATCGAATGCAATTGTACAGAGCCCGACCAAGGTGTCGCGTCATTCTCCAGAGAAGCCTGTACGAAGAAGAGCATCAATGCGTCGTAGCCTTCGCAGACTCACCGTTACACCTGAAGATGTCGATGTTCAGGCAGCAGGTACCTTTACCTTTGAAAGTCCCAGTGACGCGACCCGAGATTTAGTGAAATCAGCAAAATCTCCCAAATTTCTGCAAGAAGCTATCACTACACCTTCGAAATATAAGCCACAAGGCGCTTCCATGGAGGGACAAGTACTGGTCTCTACTACGACTTCTGATGTGGAAATGGAACAGGAGACCGAACTTGAAATTAGCGAGGAGGAGCAGATTGCGGAACAACTCTATGCTACTTCACCTATGAAGCGCTCTGTATCAATCCTGGAGGGAATTTCCATGTCTGCTGATAACCAATCTCCACCTGCGGTACTTGAAGATCATGTTCACGTGCCCATTGGCAATAGCGAAGAGCAAATCACACCTCTATCAAAAACATCGGGGACACCAACAGCCAAGCGAAGCTGCGAGAGATCTGCTACTCGACGGAGCACCAGGTCGACCCGTTCAAGCTTGTTTACCATCAACCAAGACACCCTGCTCATCGAACAACTTCCTGAAGCTATTGCAGAGGCACCATTGGCAGCCACCCCCGAGAATAGAATCAAAGTTAGTGTTAGAGAAGTTATGCCAACACCGCAACCAAATCTCAATACCAATTCAACTCAAACACTTCTTACTACAAATGAAGAATCAGGCGATATCATTCTAGCAAACGATTCTCCTTCTATTTTCACATCTACTAGCGAAGTCCCCTCTTTGGACGATCGAGAGATGATTTGGAGTGGAGTTCCTGATGTTGAGTCTGGAGCTCGTGCAGAAGATAAGATTACCGAAGACAATGATGACGGCGATTCTCATCTTGAAGAACTCGAGGCCTTTGAAGCTACTATGGTCTTTAATAGGGAAGGCAGTGAGGAGTCTAGTAATTTCGAAGACTATGAATCTGAACTAGAACAGTCTATTTCCAGCTCAATATGTGACGAAGATTCAACGCAAGATCTCCGCGATTCAATTGAGCCAGAAGATGCGGTTCACACTCCTACAAAGGGCACCAACTCGCCTAGCAGTGATCCAGATGACACAGCTGTCGAGTCTTTGGAGTTTTTGGAACCAATCCCAGTTCCCTTGGATGGGTCTTCAAGCAACGCAGGTGAAGACGAGAATTTCGATACAACCATGGAAGATGTCCCTGACGACATGAATGCTCCTTTGGAGGACGGCAACGCCCAGGAGCAGCGAGTAACGAATTACGATCATGATGATACAACTGTGCTACTAGACTTTCTCAGTCGGCATGCCAACAAGACTGCAAAGACCGAGGTGCTTGTTCCTGAAAGAAAACGATCGCTTCCACACTCACCACTTAAGTTGCCTATGAGCGAACTCGAGGAACCCACTGGACTATCCCTCGAAACCGAACCAAATGATGAGTTTGATGTCAGTGTCGCCTCCGAGAAGCCCAGCAAACGAAAGAGGCGCAATTCACGATCTCAAAATGACGAGGATCTGACTGAACCAGCAACTTCAATCAGACGAAGTGGTAGAACTAGACTTCCTGTGAAAAGCTCACAACCAGCTCCTAGTTCCATACCATTTCGCAGACTGGGTTCAGACAACACAGTTACACTTCAACAGAATAAAGAAAAGGAACTCGCTGCTATCACAAGGTTCAACACTCGCAAGAATAAAGGAAATGCTCTTTATCCGCTCGATGTCCTTGCTACGCAGACCGAGAAGGGAGATATTCCATCCCGTCATCGGGCGTTGAAAGAGTTGTTTGACGAGAAAGTTCAGAAACAGCTGAAGGGAAAGAAAGCGAAGAGCGTGGTCTGGGCTGAGCAATTGACTCATTACTCGACCGAGAAGAAGATTGAGGATGAGAAGGAGGCAGACAAGGAGAAAGGAAAGACGAAGGAGAAACCAATCATCAAGAAGAAAGTCGAGATTTCTAAAGAAGTTGTGCTGGAGAGAGAGTCGGCAATCTCCGCTGCGGAGGAGAAGCCACCTGTCATTGAGGGAACGAGGCCTGAGGAAAAGAAGCTCGAGGAGAAGAAGAGCTCGATTCCGAGAGTCAGTATGCGGAGTAAGATGGCACTCGGCATGGCGGTTAATGGAACACCAGCTCCGAAGAGAAGAATGAAGCGGGCTTGAGTGGTGAGATGATGATGAATACATGGATTTGTCTACTGAGTTTTTGTCTATAGCTAGCTTCCTTTGCTGTTGGATTTCTTGCATTTGGCTTGCCTGCTTGCTTGTCCCTTGTTTGTTGCAGAGCGAGCACGGCGAAGAGGTGTTCTTGGGGTTTGGGCATTACTATAGGGCTTTTAGCTTTGGGTGGGCTGTTTTTTTTCTTCTTGCTGAGCATTTACGGGGTGGAGCTTTTGTTTTACTTGTACTTTGCTTTTAGAAATGCTCGTTGATATCCTGAATACTGAATTTGCAGACGTAATTATTATGAGATTATTTTTTCAGGATTTTTTTCTCTTGGGTGGCACAGCGTAGAGGTAGCGACTTTTGGACTTTCTTGTGGTTGTTGTTCTGGTGAACTTTTTTCTTTGAATTGAATATTTATATACATCACGGTACGCTAGAGTACTTTCGGTGTTAAGAGAAGCGTCGGATGCTTGCTTTACTTGTGCTATTTACCAGATCGGGAGGTGGTAAGAGGGAGGAATTCCCTTTCGCCTTTGAAGCTTCAAGGTTTTGAAGCCTGTGTGAGTACCTAGTTTCTAGGTATCAATCGAGTCAAGTAGTGATTGTAATACTGTATATGATATGCTAATCTGTGATGAGAGGAGAATGATGAGATGATGTGATGTGATGTGATATGATGTAGTGTGGTTCTTGGATTTATATTTCCTTGTCCTTCTTTTTCAGTTGCTTTTCTCCTTTTTTGGGGGGGAAGAGGGGGAAGGGAGGAAAGGGGGTTATTTGGGGAGGGGAGTTGAGGTGAGTTGATAAATGGCAGGATTTATAGTGAATGAGGATGAAGGCTTAAGCCACTCGCATGGTGGGATATATACCCACCCCACTACTGCCACATGCCTTCAACACTACCACCACAATATCCACAATATCGTCAGCTACACTTTTGTGAGCTCTTTTATCCCACCCACATTCCCCTCGCTGGAAGGCTCGCCTGGCGATTTGGGAGGGTTTTTGGACCCAGTTATCGCCCTGCTCTATACTTCGTGTTTCACCAGATAGAGCCTTCGAATTGGTCTATAATGTGGTCGAAGTCCGAGCACTTGGCTCTTATTCCTTTTACTCTAGAGCGTTTCATTTGAAGCTCTTTTGTCCCACCCACATTCCCCTCGCTGGAAGGCTCGCCTTGCGATTTAGGAGGGTTTTTGGACGCTAGTTTAGTTCGTTTATGCCCCCGAAAGGGTTGCGCTTACTTTTTTGCCCTACTTTGTACTTCGTGTTTCGCTAAGATACAGCTTTCTAATTGGTCTACAATGCGGTCGAAGTCCCAGTACTTGGAATTAGTTAGTCAAACTGCCCCCGCAAGGGGTGCGAGGCCGAGGGTGCTTATACTTCGCTTTCCACTCATATATGTGGGCGAATTATAAGCACTTGAAGCTAGCCAGCAATACAAAAGAAAAATCAACAACAAGCCTCATTTGATTAATGTGATGTGTACCGACTGACGATTGAACATAAACCGGACTTTAATAACGTTCAGTATATAGAACTATATTCCATGGCATTATTCCATTCCATCGATTAGTCTTTGGAATTCCACTTATAGTAAACATTAATTTAGATTTAAGTGAAGGCCGTATTCAAGTACCTTCGTAGAGTAGATAGGGAAACCCTATTCATAAACAGTATATTATTAGCATTCCTATGGAACTTCTCCCAACTCCCTGTATAAAGACGCTCGTAATAATTAACCTGCCGGATCTGGGATAGACTTTCTGGGTCATGTAACGCTGCAAATGGAAACTCTATATATTCCATAGAATAGAGTGATTTGGCAACCGATTTTCAATGTTAGTGGTAAAGTTTTTTAGCGTACAAGTAATAAGGTTTATGATTTTCCGAGAGGTTTGGCAGGCCGATTTTAGTAAAGAATTGTTATCGAATAAGAGTATACAGGGACAGTTTCTAATATAAATACAAATACGAGGAGTCCACCTAGAACACGAACGCTTACATTGCTTGCACCAGGCTCAATTGAGGACTAAAAAGTGGGATAACTAATAGAATAACTATTGTTAGTACTAACAAAAGTTAAGGCCTTATTTGAGTTTTGGTAGTGGCAACACTTTAGGTGGGTTTTCAATAACTTTTTAGTACGAACCTACCCTTATAATCGCCACTAAAAGGTGGTTACCAAATCATCCTGATATATACCTCTGGAATCGAATACCTCCAAAGGAGGGCTCTGGAATCGAATAGAAATTCCAGTTGCCGAACGTTGAACTTTGTAAATTGGGTTGTGATATATGATGTGTTTATGTGACTGTATCACCAGTCTAGTAAGTTTTATAGTTTAAGAGGATAGTTACGCGAGCTGTGATTTTTGAGTGGAATCTGGTGGTTACTAATATAGAGTCCTTGTAAACTAATGCTTTTCGATGATAGCATAGACCTTGACTTCTGATGAGAAATGAAATCAGATATTCGCTCCATCTATCTACCTTCTTAGTATAATCGGAATAATACTTGGGCAAATTCAAGATTGGGAACATAGAGCTCTTGTTGATTTCTAGCATTGAACATCAGATTAGGCGGGTTTCTTAACATCCTCTTAGCATTGCATTTTTTGTGTCTTGATTTTGGCAGATTCGTCTTTCGAAATTCGAACCGTTGGAGGCACTCTGAAGCTGCGGTAGCCTTCCGGTTCTACTGAAACTAGCGATATATGTTCATGGTTTATACACCCACTTAGTAGACTCTTCTTAGTTCTAAGTGTGTTTTAATAGCCCGGAAAGGATAGCTCAGCAATAGCAACAGCTTCTATTGGTTAATTATAGAAGAAAAAAGTGTAATAGTAGTGTTACGATATATTTATTTCAAACACTGATGATGCGGGCGTTGTATACCTATATCTGGACTCTACATAACGGACAGATATTATAAATTTCAGAATTTGTTTCAAACCTCTTGTTATTATTACACTTCTTGCGGTCCCGGATATGCCCTAGTATTATCCCAACCATTATCAACAGGTAGCAAGACCGACAAGCCATACCTTTGCGTAGCAGCAAACATGCCAACACCCCAGAAACAATCCAACATTCTTATTTCAATACATGAGAAGCTATAGCAGGATCTCTCAAGAAAGTTCTCTAGGCCAGTAAATAGTACGGGGTGGGGCCCTGAAACCACGATATAAATTACGCGTCTCCGCCCACATATTTCATCACTTTTGCCATGAGCCATTTCCTAGGTAAATTCGACAGGAATAGCGGAGCAAAACAGCACTTACTGGGAAATTCCAAGTTCGCCCGCAGATCTTCGACTGCTACATAGCCCAGCCCCGATATTTAGCTCGCATTCGAGTCCGTGAACGCGACTTGCGACGGGATGCCCATTTTCGCCCTCTCCTCTTCACCATCCGGGTTTGAGCCCCTAGAGATTGAAATAGCATTCCACGTTGATCTTCGGTACTGTAGCCACGAACCCGTTCTTTGGGGTCCCACTGCTCTGGAACAAGGGCGTAGGTCTGTTTGTCGTTTGTGCGGGCTTGAGAGCTTCACATGCTCGATTCTTGAGAGGGGAGGGGTTGAAGCAAGATTTCCATGTCAGGAAGCGAATTCCCATACTGGAGGGGAAGCTCGGGCTTCGACTACAAGACATCGAACAATGTAACACCAAAAAATAACACGTTTCCCCAATCTGGTTTCCTAGAGTGACGATAAGAGTTTTTGACTCGTACCTCCTAGAGAGAATGGGAGGTGGCTCTTATACCGAGATGGTCGTTTTCCCATGATTTAGCCTAGAATGATTACGACAACAACGAGTTAGCTGGTATGAAACATGAAGAAAGAAAACTGAGATGCTTGCTGGACAGAGAATAAAAGATAGCCTTTTGAGTACTAAATCCTTATTGAATTCCAGCGCGCAGTTGATGAAAAAATGTCATTTTGAACCGTAAAAGCAGGCTAAATCAGAACACCAACAGTAGTTTCCCAAGGATCTCAGCTGAAGTACGTGGGAGTGAATAGTCAGGATGTACCACATGCTTTTGGATTGTGGATAGACTACTTACTATACTTATTAATATCCAGGACTCGTAACTACCGGTAGATACCCTAATAAGTTCTGCATTCCCGAATATACTCTTGGTTCCACCCACTTTGCGGACCATTCTATATTTCTGTGGGCTCCTAAATTGATATATCTCTACAGTAGCCTCAGCACATACAACAATCAAATTTAGCATAATACGCTTGGTAGACGAGCATACAGAGATAGCTCTCCACCCGCATGAAGGCTCTTTAGATGTTAGATCGCCCATTCCAAGCACAATGAACTAAAACGGAAAGCCTAAGAAAAGAGCAGAAAAAGGATCTAGCATACCCAGTAGCCTTCCAGGTTATCCAAAGCTCGCTACTTCGTAATAGAACAACCCGCATCATGAGACCCACGAACTGTACTTGTATCTGAGGATAAGTGTCGTTTTGCTTGAGAGTTGTAGCAGAACCCAGCCGATCTATTCCCACGGCGCGTATAACGTTGTTCCTACCTTCAAAGCAGTTATAGATCTTCGCGAGATGCGGGGGGTAATTTCAGGGCAGGGCGCCGACGTGCAGATGGAGCGTATACAACTCTTAATACTCTAGTCGATCCCGTCGCAGTTTTAGAAGTATTTAGCCCTATACGTGTAGGATATGCATGCTTTACTTCGTGGAACGCGATACACTTCGTACTTCGTACCTCCTCAGAGAAAAGCCTTGCTTAGACTAGCTAGGTAATCTTTAGCGAAATCCCCCTTGTATATTCTTATCTTTATACACCCCTTTTGATATCTGACTATCCTCAAATTACAAAAAGTAAAAAACAGCAGTTTTACTGCTGGCGCCAAGCGAGTCATTAAAGTAAGGAGTGATCGCCCGTCGGCCATTAAAAAGTTGCACGAATAATAATCGAGGAAGAACCGCTACAAAAGCATATTTAAACTACGAACGAACCGAACCGAACCAGGGATATGTCCGTGGTTGGTAAAGTATCAAGTCCCGAGGGAACGAGTCGATGTGATGGGTTCACAAAAGGTAGATCTCGTATATTTGGTGGAGAAGGCACCAGTACGCTGCACCGGTAGCGAACAGACGAACCTCTCGATTGGACGTGGTTTCGTCTCATCCTTCCAAATCCCATGTTGAAAAGTCAGTGTTCAACTGCTTGATTCTGGTGCCCAGACGAGAAAGATGGTCCTCAATGCTCCAACCTAACATAAAACTCTATTTGGTTGGGCATCAACACCGTAAGGCCTCACTCGCCGATTTGATTTGCACAGATGTGCACACTTCAAAAGGTCGTCCCAGCCAGGCGGAATAAACCCCTACGGATGGACCGTTCCCCTGGACAAGTCGCAGGTATTTTGGAATGAAATAAAATGATGCGTAACCTCAAAAGATAAGGCAAGGCCAAATGCGGAAGAAGAGACGAAAACTTACTTTCTGTCAGTTTTTTGAAGTCGTGTTACGGACTTCTACGAGGTAAACGAAGTAAATTTACATCGACTTGAAGTCTTGAATAAGCAAAAATTTCGTTTCCAGGTATAAAAAAAGGTTGAGTTTACGGAGGGTTTTTTTTACCCTGTAAATATTACGCCACTTAAAACCTCCGTAAACCCAACTTCATTCTTTATTACTGGGACGAATACAGGGTAAAACACTCCGTAAAGTCAACCTTTATTAGGTATGCCTCAGACAAACAAAAGTAAATGTATCTGGAAAATCACCGAATACGGGTTTTAGCCATCTGATTTGGAGAGACGGTGTTGGTTGCAAATTTACTCTCGTGATCAACGAATGAGTGAGAATGACCTGTCTTGTAACATTCGCTTACCTAGGAAAAAAGAAGAGATCTCCTTTAATTCATTCTCCTTTGAGAAATCTTTCTCAGCTTACCTCGGAAATCCTTCGGGAAATATCTCATTGTTGATTGAACCACCACGCCTGTTGGTCGGCCACGTGGGTGATGGAATAACGGCCAATTTACGGGCGGCCCAGGGGAGGATTGTCTAGACGTTTGGGTTGTTATCCTCGTGGCTGTTGATTGTTGGATTCTTCAATGCCCTACACCTGATAATGTCAAGTCTGGTAGAACCGAGGTGAGCCCTAACAAGGACTGGACCCCCTTGACAAGTTGCTTATGCTTACGCATTTGTGTTTTTTTTTGGCCTGCAACGCAGTGTGATGTGTCGGGTTGTTTGATGGCTCACGTTCCCTCGTCGTTCTCTCCGAAGGGTCCTCTTTCACGGTACTGTCCTGGTGCGTGCTGGCACTTGTGGAGTCGACGCCTACAAGTAGCCGATCTGATACTGCTTGCGCCACAATGGGACTTGAGATGATGAAGTTTCAACCACCAGGTCCTTCCACTTCGAGTAAACGGCGCGGGTGTAACTTATCTGATCTTTTTTCATATCAGTATAAAAATGTATATTTCGTACTCTCAAGAGGATGGAAACACCTACCGGTAGCGGGACCTCCCTTGAACCCCAAAGCATATTTCTGCTTTGTCGAATCTCACATCTTGCCCTTCACTCACAAGGTGAACCTTATCTCTACGCCAATACACATACGCTTTCTCCGCATATTCCTTCCAAAAGAAAAGAGCGGTAGCAGCGTGTAAATTAATGCTTGATTGCATTAGAGATGATTTGTATTTCAAGACCAGTGAGACTGACACTGACAGCAATTCTTAAAATGCTGAGGTTTAGCTTCTCAAGAAGCTGCGCTGAGCTTGAGGAGCTCCGAGACCATGGTAATGAGGCCCCACAATTGAGGGACCTTTCCTCAAGGAACTCGGCGCTTGCCTCATGGAACTTTCGAGATCTTTGTGGATCACGGCCGTGAAACTCAAAATGGCGTCTTCACCGTGAATTGTTTCATAACTTTGGGGCAATCTGAAATCACAAATATGCCCATGTTGTGTTGCAGGATGATCGATCTTTCAAGCGCAGGGTTAATTGTCTATCGGGTGCAGTATCTCCGTACAAAATAGGAGGATGATCGATCTTCCAATGCTTTTGCTGGGAAAATCTAAGAAAATTGCCCTGTAGAAACTGTGACAATCCCTCCGTGGTTAGAGACAGGATTGATAACCTTAGCCCAAGTTCTGGTTGATCAAAATTGTAAGTCTTGATGCGAGGAAGAACTCTTTCATGGGAGATGAGTCGATTTGAGCTTGATAATATCCACAATGTCGAGGAGGGGTTACTTCTCATAATGTCTGCTACTGCCCAACGGAACGTCAGGATCGTTCCCACTCAAGCTCAAGGAGATCGATGAGAAGTCTCGAGATGGATATTCGGGAGCAAAACGACCAGAATTCCATAGCTCGCAGGTTTGCAGTGACACGTACTCAGACTACACAAGTAGATTAGTGTTGGGCTCGGTAAGATACCATACTGTGATTGTACTTCGTAGAGATGAGATGAATGAAGACAATGTCATGAAACGAAGACATGTCCGCCGACCTCATAACATTTGGGAGCCCACAAACGGCTCCAGTTTTGAGTTGGACGAGTGCCGAGGCGGCGCAAGAGGAGGGATCAATTAATCAAGTACCGGCATATTGAAACGGTCCTAATCCATCACTTGGCACATCTGTAGATTAATACCATGAACCACAACCAGTCATTGATGAATCGGTGATAAAGTACGGTTGCGAATAATTTCATCGCCCCCAGCGCTAGATTTTGGAGCAACGGGAAGGTAGTACAGTAATAAGCCTAGCTCATCAACAGATCATCGTATTCTCGAGCAGCAAAAGTGCTTGACCGAACATGTGATGATGATCGTCCAGAACCCTGGCCCAGACACGCCTTGCGTATCCCGCCATGGAGTGACAGAACTATCTTGTCGATAACTTCGCACCTTCTTGACAGCAACATTGGGTATCGATGTCAAATGTTTCCTCGAGTGAGGAACCTAGGGGAGAAATATCAATCCGAGAAATATAGATGTACGCCGTAGAAATGAATTTGAGGAAGCGGACAGTCGCTCCGCATTTCCATTTTGGCTCGCGAGCCTCAATCTTTGGAACCGAGATATCAGATCCATACAATCATATTTCGTAATAATCATCAGACGCTCGCCATCATTGGCCTCGCGGTCTCCGGGCGGCAACGCTGGGTCGTTTGCGTCACTGTTGCAAGATTTATCACTCTTTTTGTTGGCATCCACAGATCTGAAGCACCGGTACTGCATGAAAATTTGAATATAGAATGTTGGTAAAAATTGTATAAACAGCTGTTTGTTCTCATGGGTATGAACAGGGTCGGCCCGTTGCGGCTGTCAGCACAATGGGGGTATCAGAAGTAAATCTTACTTGGAGCTCACTATCCATATGTAAGTAATGGCTGAAGCGTAGGAGGGATGAGGTATTCAGAATTCTCACGGACAGAATTCTGGCTTTGTTCCATTGGAATCTGGAAAATGCCGGGCAGGAGTATGAATCTCGCTACTTGCTCATATCCAATGCGAGATCATCTGTTCTGACGATCTTGGAAGGTTCCATGCCAGAGCTGGACAGGTGGGTTGGTCGAGGGTGTGTTCTGGTTCTTGGATTGCCGAAGTTCCTCATCCCAGCTCAATATTCCGTCTCTTTAGAACTGGTCATGCCCGAACAATGCTCCATTGAGGCTTCGCATGTCTTTGAGTGGTGTGACCAATCAAGCATTAAGCAACCGGAAAGACATTTCAAAACGATTCGACCATTGCGGGAGGGGCAGATAGCGTTTCAGTGGAAACGATATCAAAGGGTGGTCCGATGGGCGGGCGGTCTTTGGTACAAAGTGTGCTATACACCCCCCGCAACCTGGGGATTTAGACAATACAGCAGCAATCGGACGAATGCCGGGTAGATTTTGATGCACATCCTATGCAAGCCTACACACCCTGGCTTGCTTGGACACTACACTGCATCACTGCAGTGCAGCCTCCAGTGCCAATGGCCGCATTACCCTCCATTTACCTTGCCGTGAGCCGGTAAGCGTGGTGATAATGATGACGATGGGAGCTTCAGTTGGAAGTGGTGGTGGTAAGAGATGGAGATGCAAGAGAGCTAGCACAATGCAATTCCAAGCTAAAGGGGGGCATCGAATAAGCGAACCCCTGTAAACATGACCTTGGCATTTAGCTTGAGCGACGCTCGCATGCACGTTCGCACGCAACGCTGAAATTTGACATCCATCGCTTGTCCAAAGTTCAACACTACACGAGGGAATCACCTAGCCCTAGCGCTAGCGTACCCTCTACCATATTGTGTAGTCTACTTCATACGAACTACTCTACTAGTTTGGTGAGCGGCAGCGCTACTACTGCCACTACCGCCCAGTACTTATCTTTTGCACATCCAGCGCTTGACCTCTTTGAGCCATTTCTCTGCAGTCAAGGCCCAGTGCTAAAACTGTCCCCCATCTCATGCCCGCTCATGCCCTCGCATGCCCACCCTCACTGCTGTGTTTCCATTGCCTCCCATCAATAAAGGTGTGTGGACAACTCATATTCTCCTCTCCCCTCTCCCCCTCTCCTTCACCCCGCCGTAGTGCTGTAATACGTGCTCAGCTCAGCTCGTCAGAATGCGGCCTAACAGTTCTTCGCTGGCCACAGACACAGACCATCCTGCTGTGCCTAACCCGACAACCATAACCCAGAGTCCCAGGCTCCCAGGCTCCCAGCAAGCGGAGGCGAATTCCATGCCTTCGTAGGTGCGCTGCCGTGCTGTAACTGCACCCCAGGAAAGTACTCCGTAGACGTTGAGGATGAGGGTTCGAACCGTCTAACGAGGGGACACCAGCCTCTGCTGCTATTCACGGTCGTTAGCCCATACCCCACTTGTTTTTCCAGGCCATGGCCACCCAATGGACTCTCAATACCGATTACAGGCCCCCTGGAAATAACCAGACCCATACGGTACCCACCTAACCCACCTAATACCCCGTCGCTGGAGACCGAAAAAGGGACATGGCTCTCTCTCTCATCGAGGTGAATCAGCCGGGTGGAACCCAAAATCCCCATCGAGGGGTGCATCTGCACACTTCATATGTAGGAGGGCCTCTGCTCTTCCTCAAAGCTCTAGTTACATCCACAGTTCTGGACCCCATCATCGCAACACGGCACACTCAACTGCATATATGCATGCAAAGCCCTTCTTACCATTCCCACTACCACCATCATCACTAATTCCTAACACACTATTCATTGTTATTCCTTCACCCAAAGCATCTCTCCCATAATCCTCAACAGACTCGATATCCCCAACTCCATACTCCTCACGTCTTTCAATTCCCCTCAATCCACCTAGTTTTTGCATCTGTATACCCGTTTTACACTTCACTTCTTCTTAATTATTAGCCATCAAAGCTTCCTACTGTCACTTCACGTCAATACAACACAAAACCACTTACTCAGCCCCTCACTTCTTACATACGTTACTCTCTGGCAGAGAAGACCAGACCAAACCAGACCAGAGCTAAGAAACTCAAAAAACGATACTACTCACCCGTCCCGAATCATACCACCAAACTCTTTTGTTATCCAGCTAAACCCTATTTGCATCATAAGAAAACCCCGCCTCCAGCCCCTCCATTTTTTGCATTCTCGAAAAACCCATCTCTGAAGTTCTCTACAAGCTGGGGAAAGAAGACAAAGGAATCATGTGTAACTACACGCAAGTCGAGTTCCGATGCGGACACGTCAGATGGACAGTTCGAGCGTGGTGTATTACCTACGAAACGACACACATTCGATGTCCACCGTCAGTAGTTGCAATTGAGTTCCGGTAAGTTCGCTTTGCTCCTCTTCAGCTCATCAACGAAAAGAAAAAGCAAAAAACTAACTTGGACAACAGATTAGATGAACAGTGTGGTTAGTTCTCCCCGAACACGCAGCAAGCATAGTCTTGAGAATATATCCTATCCAAAGGATCTGTCTATTCCGAGATCGATATACTAACTTTTCTTCAGGTGACTGTCGAAAGCCAGCCATCACACCAATATGGATGAAAGCATCCACCACAGCATGCAGGTGATGAAGCCCTGACAATTGTATTACACAACTACTATACAAACATCCACTACCAATATCCTCACACATACAACAAACATACACACACACACCACCAGCCTCTTTCCAACAACAAAAATTAACGTGGGAACCAAATAATCGGATATTAGAATAAAGAGAATAGGAGTGATCCTGGGGTATTTCATGGTTTCCATTCCATTCTTTTGGTCAAGTGCGAGGAATCTTTTTCCTGTTTTTGTTTTTGCTTCGTTACATCTTGGGGGCACAAATCGGCGAACTTTCAACATTAGGTCGCTCTGTTTTTTGGTTGGTTATTCTAATTTGGGCTTGTTTACGTTACATGGGGGAATAATTTGGGATACAGCACCACACCCTCCATTAATCCACGCTCATCCCTCCAACAAAACATCTGTACAGGGAGAGGGATGGAGAGCTAGAGCTAGGTGTGTGCATGTATGTAACGAGGTAGCGTCGCGTCTGGTGTCTGGTGTACGGTGCAAGGGCGTCTTGTTTGAAATTTTTGGGAGCGAGGAGTACTGTGCTGTACTGTACATTGGGAGCCGAATCAAGGTTGTGGGGTACCTAGGTACTGGATGGGAATCATTATTGCGCGTCCCTTTTTTTTTTGTGTGTGTGTGTTTGGTAGAAAAGAAGAGTCTTTGCCTGGCTTACAGTAACTTGGCATCCGTCATCAAGAGGGCATTGAATGGAGAGAGGGGCATGGACATAGGAAAGGAAACCTCGAACCGGGAAGAGAAAAAAAGACACACTGCTCGTATTTTCCAGCGTAGCTAGAGTTTTTTTGTCATGTTGTACTGTACATACACCTCGTGGAGAGGATTGTACAGCACCCAAAAATCCACATACCGTACCTCAACAATTAATCTGGTACCCGTTGCATTTTCTCTTCCCTCCCTTCATTCATTCACATCCAGCCAAGTCACCAAGTCAAGTCCTCACTCAACTCACAAGCAAGAAAGGGAAGGGAAAAAGATTTCAACCTAACCCAATTCGTTGCACATAACCAAGACCACTCAGTACACACCAACCCACACACACACACCAACTAAGAAAAGAAAAAAAGAGAAGATCTCCACACCAAAAAGTCCCCAAATCCAAATCCAAATCCAAATCCCAAAATTCCCCCTCAAAAAAATCCCTCTCCCAAAAAAGCCAATCAACCACGTAAACCACCCAAGAACCTATCAAGCCCTCCGTGTGGCAGTACAAGGTGCAACGAACAAGGGGGGGAAGCGGGGCTCGAGGTTCTCCACGTTACGGTTACGCACAGGATACATGATACAGTACTGTACATGCCATGCCATGTCCCTTCTCATGATTCTACTCGTACATGTATGGACATGGACACGTTGTTCCCGATCTAGTCTGTGAGGTAACTTACCGTACCGTACCTGTCTTTTTCTAAGATGATAGGATGGGATGGGATGGAAACACTATGCTATGCTACGGCGCGAAGCTAGGAGGAAGAAGATGGATTTCTTCCGATACCTGCCATCCCAGTCCGGTCTCGGGAAGGTTAGTTTAGGGGGTCGGTATTCGATTCGGTTCGCGTTGGATTGGTTTAGCGGTGCGGTGAGGTCTCCGGGATGGAGGCCAGAGAAAGCGATGGGAGGGTGCAGATGGTGTTGTTCTTGCCTCCCCTTTCCATGCTTTGATAGTTGGCTGGCTGGCTACTTCGCTTCGCCTATTTCTCCTTTTTTATTTATATATATATTGCACTTTCTGGACGACAGAGGGAGGGACGGGGAAGGTGTAGGTAATGTTACACCACAGAATCTTTGGATAGATAGATGCGGAAGCGGTTGGGAAGGATGTTCGTTTTCGTTTGGTTTTGGTATCTGGGATATGGGGAGATGGGGAAATGTAGGATGCCGGTAACTTTATCGGACGGATGTTACATCCACATACGCACTGCAAGCCTGATGAGAGGGAGCAGTGCAGCGCAGTACGTAAGGGCGTGAGAAACCCGAGTACCTGGTTATCGTACAGGTTGGGTTGATATTAGGGGACGTTGGGGATGGTTGTTGAGTATGGAGTATGGAGTATGGGATAGGGTCAAAGAGGTGTTTGGGAAAGAACATCATTGACGAGTTTGTGTGGGAGAAGAGGTGTTTCCGTGATTGCATACATACGAGCAAGGCAAATGATGATGAATCAAAAATCATTTTTTGGCTCCTTGATAGAGCCGCGCTGCCACTACTGCGAAACAGGACAGTTCGGAGAGGCTTCTATCAGAAAGTGGTTGCATTGCATTACAGCCTCTCGGCACCTACACCTGCACTTACACAACCAAGGCCGCCTCGCCTCCCTCCTCCCGAAACAACAAACCAGAAGCGAGAAACCCGACAAAGTACCCCTCAAGACCATGCACGCGGAAAAACTCAGAGGGAAAAAGGACCATCGCCATCGAATGAAAAGCCAAAGCACCTACATTGAATCGGGAACGAGCTTTGCGCTTGAAGCGCCTCTAGTAACCATCCATATGCGTTCCAGAAACCCACTTCCAACCAACAAGATGGCCCACCAAAAAGATCCCAAGAAGAAAAAAAACGCCGTCCCTCTTTCGCTCCACCGTGTTAACAACAAGCAGAGACCAGAACAGCCTGCAGATGGGATCGCGGTGGCACACGGTACGGTATACCCATCCCATCCCATCCACAGTCTCCGATCCAGATCTTCGGGAACGCAACCAGAACTCCCGGATCGATTCAAGAGAAAATAGGAGACACCGCACCGTACCTTTCGGCTTCAACCCCAAGAATTGGCCCAGTAACAGGGTCCCGAGGATCCCGAGATCTCGATTAAGGGAGGGGGAAGAGGGGCTCTCCACCAACCTACATACAGCACAGCTCCGCTGATGACAGCACAGCACAGCACAGCACATCACAGCGTACCGTACCGTTCCATCGCCTCGCCTCGCACCGCACCCTCAGCGTTGCCGAACGTGTAAAGGGATCAAGCCAGCCCAGCCCAGCCCAAGCCAACGCAACCCACCGATTGCGGCCGAGATTGGGTTTTCGCGGATCGGTGCGGAGTGCCAGGGCTGGAGGAAGCGGAGGGGGAACGTGGGAAAGGCGTGGGAGGATGGGGGACCGTCGCACTTGCAGACCCAATTACCGGTACTGTATGGCTGTCTGTCAGATTTCGACGAAATGAGAGATGGAGTACCGGTACCGTACCGTACTGAAACTGGAGAAAAGAACCCGACGATCTGGAAGACCCCCTTTCTTTCTTTCTTTCGGAAGTACCTAGCCTTTCTTGTTCTGGTGAGGGTTGCGAGGAAAGTGGGGATGGGACTGGTTTATATCCAAGATTCTGGCTCGGGATTTGAATGTGGTTTCAGGCACAGTACTTGGTACGGTACTCGTACGAGATGGAACTTCTGCGTCATCGTTATTCGTGGAAAATAACATGGGGATGGGCATTGCTTACAGTAGCAAGACAGAAGAAGAGGGTGAGATATAAGAATGAACCCTTAACAGGTTCAGAGTCACGATGGGATGGGATGGGACGGGCTCGATATTATCATGTTGGATTCTTATCCAGAAGGAGGTACCGTACTCGTACTCGAGACGGCCACCAGGGGCTTGCCCGTCGAGATTCTCAAGGTACCGTATCTTGCAGGACCAACTACGACCGAAGCATTGCGTTCGGGACATGCTCTACCGAGTTACAAATTCGATAGGATCCCGTACTATACCCCTCCAGATTCCAATCCCTTTCTCAATTACAATCCTTAGATATGAAATCATACAATCCTTGGATATGAAATCATACCTTGTCCAAGCTGAGACATACATGTAAATGATCCATATATACGAGACGGCCAGAAAAGGATGGTATTAAGGTACTGTACATGTACATGTAGCGAGCATGGCATGAAGCGGTGCATAACGGGCCGCTCTTTATGGTGTGGTGTAGAAAGCTTTTCCACGGAGCGTGCCGTGATTGTAATTTGTAGAATGGTAGTTACAGGGACTCGCAGGGTATAGATGATATGATATAGTATACATAGTAAAAGGGAAAAGGATACCTAGGGAAGGGTGGTATATATAGTAAAAGTAGTATTATACTACCCTCGCTTCTAATGCCGTTGAATCTATCCTAGTAGAGTAAAAGAGAGCGGGTAGAACAGGTATATTATTATTCTAATATACTAATATAATACGTCTAATTATAGTTATTAGAAATTACGCTATTAGCGAGGTTACTTAAATTTCTACCTATATCTCTATTGAAAGTAAATGCTTATCAACAAATTCGAAAGTATAAAATAGAAAACTTATAATATTATACTAATAGAGATAAATACTATCTTATTCTATTCTAAAAACTACCTACCGCCTTATCCCTTCCCTCTTATTCTATCTACCTATACTATTATCTACCCGCCTACCTACCTATAGTAGAGAACAATACTATACTATACTATATATTACAAAATAAGCCAGAAACACCTCCTACTACGACCACCACCACGTTAACATTCCTCCAGAGTCCACTCCATATCCCATCCCGCAAGGCCGGAATACAAGACTAAAGCGACCACGCCGGGCCTGTCAAAAAAAACTCGGGCATATCATCATGCAGCTGGGGAGCCTGGGGCTGGTACAACGCACCGCACCTCTTCTGCACGTCGGTAGCGCGAACCTGCAGATCCCTGATGAGCCCAGCGCTCCGTAGCGGGTTGGATGCTGGGCTGGGTCATTGTAGATCATGTCTTTTTGGATTACAGTACAGTTGTGAAGAGGGCATGTTAGACATGATGTGGCATCGGAGTTGGAATGTATTCATTGGATGACATGATATGAAAAGAAAATTACCGGGTCAAGTCACGGGGCTCGTGGGAATATTGGAGCGCGTGCAGAATCTGCTTCGAGAAGGATCTGGACAGAATTTTTTTGTACTTCAAATATACGAAGTACTCGTACGGAGCAGAGTAAATTAAGTCCGAATAAACAGGACCATGGTTTTCTATTCTAGTGCCCCACTTCACCCCCTGCCAATTACTTGCAGACCAGCCAGTCATCACGTTATCGGACCCTGAGAGAATGGAATGGCCCATTCGATCCATGGATACTCGTATCCTCCAGCTGCTGGCTGGCCGAGGGTTCTCGTGTTGGTGAGGGGAATCCACTCTTTACTTCTACATTGACGCAAGCCTTGACCTCTTGTTTTGATACTTCATGAACAGTGGTTTGAGCAGCGTGGATCCAGAAAAAGTCTCAACGGTCGTAAATCGAAGTAAATCTCGAATCGGAGGTAGAAGTAATTCAAGACATTTTCTTCGCCATATTCCCAGCGATCTATGGGTTCGGGAAGGGCAGGGCAGGGCAGGGGGGTTTAATGCAGTTGCCTCCACAATATATGAGTGTCCAGGTGATAGGTAAAATGAGCTGGCAGGGTGAGATCAGCATCGTGAGGAGCGAGCTAGAGGTTGAGTTTTCGGATTTCCCAAAAGATCGTGACATCTGACCAGAACAAAGCGGTGAGGCTGGGCTGCGATCCAAGTGCGAACAAGCAAAAAAACGGTATCGTGATGGAGTCTTGCTCAAATGCGGTCAACTTTAGCGAACTCGACGATGATTTGCTTGCTGCTCAACTTCCTTTGCCAATATAAAGCAATAAGAATGCTGTGGATCTCACTTCCCGCCAACGGTCTTACAGCCTAAGAAAGGTGGTATCGACGACAAGAACAGTATTTTGCAGCATGCCGACAACGGGATGGGAAAAGAAAAGTCTGGTTATCCCGATATATCCATGGCGTGACACCATCCAGATAGGATCTTCTATCTCAGCTAACCCTAACGTCTGTCTGTATACAGGACCAAAGTGTTACAACCAAGTGTCGGGCGTACCGTATTTCGAGATTGAGCTGTGTGACCAGAGGCTGGAGTGGAAATCTAGTCGCGTCTCGAGTACAATCGCATGAGGCGATTGTAGGGTTACACTGAGCTGATATCAATGTGTCCCGGTAGCACGGAGGAGGTCCTCATCAGCGGCAGTTTGTAAACACCAGATCCATAAAACAGCCCCAAATCGCCCCACCATGGCCGTAAATTTACGTTATTACTATACCCGCTCTTCACGAAGAATCTAACCCTCGAAAGCTTTCTACTCGTGGCTGGGACGGATATAGGTTACACCTGCTCTGATCAGGAGTGCCCCAAAGGCCTAATTGCTTGGCCAGAGGCTGTATATAAAAATGGGGAAGCTGGTGATACCGAGAGCAAGGTCGAAAGGTGATTGATAGGTAGCGATTTGCTAATCACAACCTCTTTGGTCTCTTGCGGCTATTTGGAGGCTCAGCATGCCAAGACTACATTTACGCAGTAGAAGGAAAATCCCCGCCGTGAAAGTGATGTGGCTTCGAAGAACAATGCATGTTAATGGAGGGGGGGTATGCAAGAGAAGAATCGAAGCTACTTGTACAGTAGATGCAAGTTTGGAAAAGAAGAGGTGGTGTGGTAAGCCTTCCGCCGTCAGATGGCATCATGGTGGATGTACGTTTGAAAGCGGCAACAATTAGCTTCGGGTCAACAGACTTAGACAGGATTCTAGCAGCGAGGCCAAGTAGTCCTCAGCAACTATCTTCATTTCGGAGCTGAGCAGCCATTAGGCAATTACAAGGGCAAGTTAAGCGTACTACAGTAGTGTGCAAACCTGCCCTGCATATCAAACATAAGCTGCGTTCCTGAGGAAACCAAAAGATTATTGACGGAAAAATTAGTAACAAGTATTAAGACCCACGTTAGCGTTGGAAGCTTCAAAGATCAACCATCCATACACAGGCACAACCAGGACGGTAGACCGTAAGCCGCAATCCTCCTTCCCCAAATGGCCCGTAGCCGTCAGCAAGCGGCCCTGGCCTGGCAATTGATACCAACCTCAACCTATCAACCTGACCCCACGTACCTACAGTAGGTACTTACCTATCTCCCCGTGACCACCATTCCCACTCAACGAAGTCACGAAAGGGGGCTTCTGGCTTCATAATCAAGCCAAGCCAAGCAAACAAATGGTAATCGTGACTCTTCAAGACCCCCACGGTTCAAAAAAAAAACATACGATCGATGGAGGTGTACTTCTACTTCGTAAGATATAATCCTCCGAAGGTTTGCTGGAATCATGACAGCTCACATTTCCCAATCTATCCCAATTGCAAGAGCAAGAATTCGGCCTCAGGACAAGACGAGACAAGACGAGACGACGGCAATCCGCCTTCCCAATGAAGATCCCCTCGTCTACGCGAAACCACGGGAATCCAGATCGTCGGGTCGATGGTCGATGGCGGTGAGAAAACGATTTGGCGGGGCGAGGATGGATAGAGAGGTCAATATCAAAGTCATGCAACTTCCCTTGGGGCGGAAGACAATCAATCATATGAGAATGGAAATGTGAGGAAAAGACCCTAGCAAGAACATCACCATTCTCCCACACCAGCAGAAAAAAAGGGGGAAAGAAATGTACAGCAAACTCACGCCAGAAAAAGACTCTGTTGCTACGAAGTATTATTACAACCCGACCTCCACCTCCATTTCCTCACGAAAATAAACGTGTAAGTAAGTACAGTATCGGTCTGGCGCAAGAAATATATAATGGGGCGCAGCCTATCCGTACTGTATGTATGTATGTACAAACCCAAATGTCTCACTCGTCAGCACCACCACGACACGACCATTCAAAGAAAAACGGTTCGGTGAGGTGAGGTGCGCGAATTTCTCGTCCTCTCGTCCAAAAAAATATTTTGGGAGGTGGTGATACTCGGATATCTAAGGTCTAATAAATTCAAGCGCCTTTCTTATCCGCGCGAATGGATGTCCAGTACAGTACTTACTTACTTCCCACCACCAATCCATCGAGCCCATCGTATCCATACCGTCATCCTACCTACCCTACCCTACCCACCACCACAAAAGTACCTAGGCTAGGGTTGGGCAAGTCTGACAAAGCCACAAGAGGCGTAGTATGTCGAGCATCTCGCAGATACATCCCCCTCCTCGTCAGAAGCTTGAAGGGCTACAGTACTACTAGTATCTCGTCTCGAAATCCATTCCATTTACCGATCCGCTCCTTTGGGGAAATAACACGTCGGTGGGGGGGCAAATAAAAAGTCCTCACCTCACCTCACCTCACCTCAGCCCACCAGACCAAAGAAATACGATACGAGCAAAGAGAGCATCAGATGAACACTTCCATCTGCATGCACTTTCGCACGCATACAGTCTCACAAAACATACATCACAGACACTTTCTAATTTCTGAAAAAAAAAAGGGAAGAGCCATACGTATCATACATTCGGCCCTTTGTCTACCCAATCCCCCCATAGACGTAGCAAATCAACCAACCATGTTGTGTAACGAATGAGAGCTTCGGTTCGAGGCGATGATATCCAGAGATCCAAGATGATTGGTATCCCTTAGAACGAGTATCTCGGAAGCGAATGCAAGTGAGCGCTGACCGGTCCAGTCACGGGAGAAACCTTGTAGTGCTCAGCTGCTGGGACTGGATTTGCGTCCACCAGGAAGGGAGCTTTTAGATTAAACTACGGCTTGGCTCTGGCGTTTACGAAGCTAGCAAAGACTGGGTGTTATGATCTTTGGGTGATACGAAATATGGCCGCTGAAGAAGTAGACAACAGACGCAGGACAGAAGACTCGAAAGAGAAGGAAGTACCAATTCATAGCAAAGAATTTGATGCGATTCGAAATCAAAGCATTTATTAATTATCATAACAAGAAGCACGCGTGCTTATTAACAAGTCGGCCGCAACATAGTCATAAAGTCGTGCCAAAAGCAACATGGTATTACCCGCCCAGAGAGTTGCCCACTGGAATGCTTGTAGGATATGGTTGATGTCATACAACCAAAGAGAGGAGCCAACACCAAGAATGAACCACGAAACACCAAAGAAAGACCCTAGCCCCCATCGCCAGAAATGCTCTAAATGCTGGAAAGGGGTATAATGATAAGTTCACCTCTCAGGGTCGCGAAAGGCCTTGTCTTGCCTGTACATCATTTGGTTAGTTTTTGGTATTGGTTGAATGTTTGGAACAACTTGCCTTCATCTGTTCGATCTTCAACTTCAGAGCGCTTGTAACTTCTGCAGCTCTCTTCCAGCTTTCCTGTCCATTACCCGCACTGCCACCATCCCTTCCGTTGTCATTCATTGTATCTCGAGGATTTCGAGAACCGTACGACGGCGCAGGGCTATTCCTTCCCCCACTGCCACTAGCAGCGCTATTTCGACCGTTCCCCTGTTCCGGACTTAGCTTAGCACGACCATATTGAGCCGTCAAACCATCGCCAGTATTTTCTTTTTCCTCGCTGAGGGTAGATGTGTATGATGCTCTACCCATTCTTGAATTTCCGTATCCTGATCGATCCTGTCCTCCACCATACATGCCCGAATCGCGGTAGATACCAGTATCTTCATTAGCTGACTCACGACCAGGACTAGAGAGACTTGCAGGCGGACTATTGACGCGTTCCGCCGACGTAAGAGCCCGCTTGAGTCTCTCCATTTCTCTTCGAAGTTGACCACACATTGCTTCTGCGGCTTCACAATCTGATCTTGCCCGTACGAGTTGTGTTTCTTTAGCCTTGATGGATAGAACGTCTCTAGTGTGGTCTTCGATCAATTGTGCATTTTGATTTTTCAATTCGCCAATCTCGGAATTGAGCTTCGAGCGTTCTTGGCGATAATCGTCGGCTTGCCGTAGAAGACGATCTTTATCGAGACGAAGCTCTTCTAGTTCTGCTCTATCAGCAGCAGACATACCTGGATTTGGCGGAGGTGACATTGAAGAAGCCGGAGGAGCTGATGCGGCGGGTGCTTTAGCAAGAGAACGACCAGCAAGACCTCTTCCACCGACGCCTAAGCGAGGAGGTGGAGGCGCTTCTTCTTCAGGTGTTTCTGGTCGAACTACAGGACGTCGGGCAGGCGAGGCAGATGGAGCAGCACCACCAGGACCTGGGAGAGCCCGTTTCAAAGGAGCTTTGAGTCCACCCGGAGGCTTTAGTCCACCGAGTTTCGAGGTTCTACCCGATGGTTGGGGGGCCAAAGGTGCTTCTTGAGCGTAGACACTTGCTGGGGCAGGTTTTGGCGCAGGCTTCTTGGTACCAGCAGGAACCTTTTTGACCACCTTTCTAGGTGCTGCTGCTGCTGCGGCTTTAGCTGCAGGTGGAGGTGGCTTTGGCTTTGGCTTGTCCTTTGCCTTGACCTCTGCAGTCTCAAAGTATTCCTTGATTTTCGTCTTTCTGATCTCATCCAAACCCTCAAGATAAGAACCCATAGCTCTCTCACCCATTATTTTCATCACTGTACCGAGAATTTCTGCTCCGCCTGATCTTAGCACTTCACCTGATTCAGCAAGGAGTTTCTTTGCCGCTTCACAAATAGAAGCTACCTCAGTTTTGATTGGTGCTTCCCGAGTTGTTCTTAAGCATCGAATCAGGAACTTCATCGAGCCTTCCTTCACCTGGGGATTCTTGTGTTTGAGAAATTCAAGCATCTCTTCAAGACACTCCGTAAGACTAGTAGCGGCAAAAACCTGGTCTAGGGCTGACCCAAGAGCGTCTTGAACGGTCGCCTTCTTCTCCTTAAGTCTCTCCATCATCGGGCCCATGATAACCGACCGGTGTTTGGCAAAACCTTTTCTCAGCCCCTTAGCAAGAAGTTCTATACACTGTGCTGCTTGGATAACAACAGCAATGTTGGCGTCCTTCATTGATTTTGCTAAGCCTCTGATTATCTCATTAAAGTCACCGTCCTTGATTCTTGGAACATTCAGGGCCTGAAATAAAGCCTCCAGTGCCTCTTTGCGCTCTTTCCATTTGGACGAGGCCAGATTATCATGGAAATCAGGTGGCACCTTTGCAAGTACATCTTGGGGTTCAGCCAAATCAAAGACGTCCACCTCCACCCCTTCGCCCTCAAGGTCATCTTCTTCTTCTTCCTCTGCACCTGGCGCTGGGGCTCGCTCTATTGCGGCCTGCTGCGAGCGGAGTAATCGTTCTTGCTTTGGCATGGGCTCTGCCTTTATCTTCTCAAAATGGGCTTCCATATCCGTTTGTTGCGTGGGCTTCAGGTCACCCCAGAACATGGGCTTCATGGCTTCCCTTAACCATCGATAAAGTTCAATGGCCAAATTGGTGGCTTCTGCTCGTACATTTTTGTCGGCATGGCCGAATGGCTTGGGAAGTACTTTGAGAATTGGTTTCGGGTCGACGGTTTTACAACCGTAATTATGAATAATGGCTGTCAGCGCCGCTAGTGTTGCCGCAATAATTTTAGGTTGTTTGTGTGAAAGAGCGGGAAGCAGTTCTTCGATTACCGGACCGGCAGTATCTAATTCAATGTATAGTAAAAGAGCTTCCAAGGATGACACTTTGGTGGCAGCTCTTGTGGAGGAAAGGCCTTTCTCCACTAGAGGGGTTATTGTATGACTCCTGGTTCTATAGAAAATGCTGTTAAATGCCGGTCTCAGAAGTTGGTTGGCTGTCGTACCTTGTACAGCCCTCACGCCCTCCAAATTTCAAGAAGGCACATAATGCCGCAATACCTTCTTGTTGTGCCGCGACATTGGAATCTGCAGCCGCTCCCTTCCATAATCCAGGATCTTGTAGAAATGGTCGAAATGTTGGATCGTGCTCATCTGGTGTAACCTCGAATTGCTTCGCTGCGTCTACATAACCATCTTTGCGGACTTTCCACAACTATGGAGAAGGTCAGCGACCAGCTCAGACATGCCCAGGAGGGGTATTGCCTACCTTATGCTGGAATCTATCGGGCAGCGGGAGAGAACTGAAGTCCTCTTCTGGTGCGTCCGCCATACTGGACCCGGGGACCAGTGTTGAGAGAGATTGTAGGCCTGGGATACGTTTAGTTAGCTTGCGCAACAACTTGAGGAGATGCCCCGCCATCGGCGCAGGGGCACTCGGGCGAGGGCAGAATGATATGTTGAGGCAAAGGGATTTGGTGCCATCTCCCAGCAGTGGTGCAATACTGGAGAACATCCGCGAAAAGGGGGTTGCATACCTGGACAAAGAGGCGCAAATCTAGTTGCGAGCCTGTGGTTGTTGTACCTTTGCGAGACGGCCTATCCAGAAAATGCAGGGACAGTCAATGGATGAGAGTCGTGGCAGTTTCGTGGTATGCGCGAGGATCGTGATGTGTGGTGCGATACGATGCGATGCGCCGTGAAGAAAGAGAGATCGTTTCCCCTGGATGGTGTTTATGACGCCTGGCTGAAAAATGATTTGATTTGGTGGTGGAGGAGGCTCCATGAATGTGTTGTTGATTTTTGGGCACCAATGGCACCAATGGCCATCACTACGGCGACCCCCCCCCCAAATCCAGCCCTGTCATTCACTGCCCTGCGAGTCTGTTGAGCCTAATCGCCCTGTCTTGCTGCTGTGGGCGCAGGCGCGGGCGGTCAAGCTGTGGCTGACCAGGCTGTTCCCCGTCACTCACTTTTGACCTTGCAACACCACAAAAAGGGCACCTGTACCACATCCCCATCACCATGAGAAAGCGTCATCGAGCACAAGCACAAGCACCACCTGAAATCTACTTCTCTCTCACCTCCCCTTTGAGACCGACGGTCATCCCCAGTGCGGCCCAACTGCCCATCCCACACTCCAATCGACCTCGACCGCAAGGCCTCGCTGTTGCCGCTCTTCATACGGAGCACGTATCCTGGGTACACCTGCACAGACCAGAAATAAACAGTGAGGGGCAAACAACCGCAATCACAAGCACAACCCGCGGCCAGGCGCATAGCCTTGGGGGAATAGCGCACCCCGACCACAACGACTTGCGAGCTTCATGTATCCAAATTTGCGATCACCATGAGCCAGATTTTGACGTCGCGGCAAGCCGAGGAGCTGTAAGTCACCCCACCCCGCATGAATTACACCGCAGCTTCTAATTCAAGCCAGTCACAAGTCCATGATTGCATACCTTACATCCATCAACCTGCCAAACAGTGCCGCCGCACTACGGGAAGAACTCCAAATAGGGGAATCCTTCGATGCGGCGACCAGCAAGAAATATGAAGGTCTACTGGAGAAGAAATGGACGTCTGTTGTGCGGTTACAGAAAAAGGTGGGACCCATTTCCCGGATGTTGGAATCACCCTGAAGGCTGATTTTTACGCAGATAATGGAGTTGGAGTCAAGAAATGCGAGTTTACAGTCCGAGATCGACTCTGCGACTCCCACGTCTCTTTCGAAAAGAAATCAAGACCCTACGTCGTGGCTCCCACGATCGCCTGCTAGGCATACACTACAATCACACAGAGAACCCGTTACCTGTGTGGCTTTTCATCCAGTATTCTCGTCTCTCGCATCGGGCTCAGAAGATTATACCATTAAAATTTGGGACTGGGAATTAGGCGAGTTGGAAAGGACGGTCAAGGGGCATACAAGGCCGGTGTTGGACGTGGATTTTGGAGGACCACGAGGAGGAACATTACTGGCATCATGCTCAAGCGACCTTACAATAAAACTGTGGGACCCAAGTGATGAATATAAAAATATCCGAACACTTCCAGGACACGATCATTCGGTCTCAGCGGTACGTTTCATACCTAGCGGTGCAGCCGGCTCACCTTCCTCAGGAAATCTACTCGTGTCGGCCAGTCGGGATAAATCACTTCGTATCTGGGATGTATCAACAGGATATTGTGTTAAAACGATAAGAGGTCACGCAGATTGGGTTAGGGATGTTTCGCCGTCTTTTGATGGACGATGGCTGTTATCGACAGGAAATGACCAGACTGCTAGGATATGGGACGCATCCTCAGGGGAACCGAAAGCAACTCTACTGGGTCATGAACATTTCGTCGAATGCTGTGTGTTTGCGCCCCCAGCTAGTTATGGGAATTTAGCAACCCTAGCAGGGTTGAAGAAACCTCCATCGGCCAGCAGCTCTGCGGAATTTGTTGCGACCGGCGGTAGAGACAAGAGCATCCGAATATGGGATGCTCGAGGCACATTGATTAAGACACTTGTTGGACACGATAATTGGGTCAGGGGCTTAGTATTTCACCCCGGCGGCAAATACCTGCTCAGCGTTTCAGATGACAAAACTTTGAGGTGTTGGGACCTTTCCCAAGAAGGCAAAATGGTGAAAACTTTGGATGATTCGCATGGCCATTTTGTCAGTTGTATTCGGTGGGCACCAGGGGTTATAAAGGATGTTCCAGCTACGAATGGAGAAAATGGAGCGACAAACGGAATAAAGAAAGATGACACCGCCAAAGTTGGGATACGGTGTGTGATAGCTACTGGAAGTGTTGATCTCAATGTGAGAGTCTTTGCTTCGTGAACCAAGGGATGCGGTCTGTCAAGACGAGTCGATAGAGGGACTTGAGGCATGATCGATTGCATGTGCCTAGTGCTCTAGAACAGAGTTGGCTACGAAATATGACGAGTTATGCTAGCATTTGTATAGGGAGAAATTGCTTCTTCGAATCAATTGAAATAATCAAATACATGACACTATTGCTTTAAAAGGAGAGCAGACATGGGTGTAAGTAGATTGATTGTGATTGACATGTACCTCGAACTCTCACTTGCGACCAGGAGGCAAGTCATACAGTATGTCTGTCCGATTTTATTACATCAATTTCCGATTCACTTCTAGAAAAAAATAGTCGCAAGGCTCAAAGCAAGCCTCGTCATAATTGGCCTCACATCCAAGGCATCAAGGCGCAAGGCTACAACTGATAATTGTTGACCCGATTAGCATCCAAGTCAAGGTAACATTAACATCAACCAGCTCACGTCAAATAGTCGACCATTTTACAGCAAATATGGCATCAATGCACGCGTTCGCTCATGGTTCCTCCTCAGAATCATCTGAAGATGACGATCCCAATGCAGAAGAATTTGCAGATTACAATCCACGGAAACGAAGAAGAACTGGTCGCGATGCAAAGGAAAGTGCTGCGATGGGTATATTTGGATCGGAGAGTGAGGATGAAGGCCCTGGTCGACGATGGAAGAAGAAGACTCTACGTGGAAAAGGGATGGCTTTTGTCTCAACGGGACAGACCAATTTGAATGACGAAGATGATGAGGACGACGAGGAAGAGGAGGCAGAAGACGAGGATGTAGATATGGAAGAGGAAGAAGCGGAGGCTCCACGAGGCTTGGGATTTGGTGCAAGAGGTCTTGGGTTTCAGAGTCCAGCACCGGCAAAATCCAAAGATGGTCCCAAAATCGGCACACCTCTTGGAAGGGGATTCGTTCCATCCTCTGCGGCTGTTCCGATACTTCAAAATGATGAGGAAGAAGTATCGACCCCGAGAATCGCTCGCCCGAGTGCGTTTTCGACCCCCACCTCATCGAAAGGAATGCCAGGAAAGAATGCCTCTGGAAGTGCCCCTATCAATGCAGGATCATTCGCAGCCAGAATGATGGCGAAGATGGGATACAAAGAGGGCCAGGGTCTCGGAAAAGAGGGCACAGGTCGAAGTGGTGTTATTGAAGTTGTTCAAAGACCACAGGGAGTTGGTCTTGGTGCTGTGAAAGAAAAATCAAGACAAGAGATTGAGGAAGAAAAACGACAAGCGAAGATACGGGGTGAGAAATACGAAGATTCTGACGAAGAACGAAAGAAGAAACGTCGAAAGCCAAAGACTAGTGGCACAGACAGTGGTGGAAGGAGTGGTATAAGCACACCTCGAAGAGCTCCCAAACCCAAATTTCGGACTTTGGAGGAGGTTCAGAGAGCCGCTCCAGGTCTCGAAATTCCTGATGTCTTTGCACCAATTTTGGACATGTCGGGCCCGGGCCAACGACTCCTCACATCAACATCTGGCCTTCTAACGCCAACGGCTGGAAAAGAGAAAGCGGAAAGTGTGGAGCAAATTGAAAGCAAGAAATTGGCCCGAAGAGCGCAAAACGAATTATCGGCCCATGTAGAAGAATGGAAGAATCTGGATGAGCGAAAAGCCTACGTTGGCATGGAGATTTTGCAAGAACAACAAGGCATTGACGAACTACAAGCAGAACTCGACCAGTTCAAAATCTTTGTTGATGCAGCTCAGGAAATATTGCAAGCTTCCAAAGATGGACAATGGGATCCTATCATTGGTTCTCTCATCAAAGCAGTCGAATTGCAAGTCTCGGATGTCAATGGAGAACTATCAGATACTGCAGTGGCTGCTGTACATCCATTTTTAACCCGTGCAACTGAAGGGTGGCAACCACTTGACGACCCCAAGCTGAATGGTTTGGTACCACAATTACACAAGATTTACCATATACTTGGGGTTACTTCAAATCACGATATCAGCAAGAACAAGAGCCTCAATGGATTTCATCGCAAAACTAAAGCGACTACAGCATACGAAAGTATGGTCTACAAAGTCATATTCCCTAAAATTGTCTCCGCCATAAACCAAAGCTGGAATGTCTATCATCCGGCATCGTTACTCACTCTTCTCGAGTCCTGGGAAGGACTTCTCCCCAATTTCATCCGCTCGCTACTTTTTGATCAAGCGATAGTTGCCAAACTCAACGAAGCAGTCTCGTCTTGGAACCCGCGGAAGCGAAGATCTCATGAACTACCACATCTTTGGCTCTTTCCCTGGCTTCAATATCTTCCAGCTCACCACGCCGAACCCAAAAGCTCTACGGGTTTAGTCAGTGATATAAAGCGTAAATTTCGTCATCTTGTTGAGAGTTGGGATTTTCATAAAGGTGTTGTTCCAGGTCTCAAGCAGTGGCGAGAAGTCCTCTGTCCCACCCCGGGTAAAGATCACTGGACTCCTTTGATAATGAACCACGTCCTTCCAAGCATGGGCCGCTTCCTGAAGAATCCAAAGAATTTTGTGGTTGACCCGAACGACCAAGCACCATATATGTCTGCTCTTCAAGGTGTCTTTGCCTGGGAAGAGATATTGAAAGCTAAAGTGGTAGGCCAAGTGATTGTGGAAACCGTATTTCCCATGTGGCATAGTGTTCTACATCAATGGCTTACAGAAGTTGGACCCAACGAGGAGGTTGGACAGTGGTTCGAATGGTGGCGGGACTCAGTGTTCCCAGCAGACATCAAGAAACTTCCAACCATCGAAGCAGAGTTCACCAAAGGCCACGAAATGATCATCCAAGCTCTCGACCTCGGCTCCAAGGTCTCCACTCTCCCACTACCATCCACGACCCACACGACATCCCGTCGCACCTCGCCTGTTCCTGTTCCACAGCCGAGCAAACCCCAGCCCCAACTCGAAGAGCAGACCTTCCGTCAGAAATTGGAGGATTGGTGTATCGAGAATGATCTCCAATTCCTGCCCGAGAAGAAAGTTCTTCATGATAAAGGACCGCTTTATAGGATTACGGCGGCGGGTAATGGGAAGAATGGGGCGCTGGCGTTCTTTAGCGGTGAGGGGTTGGTGGTTTTGAGTAAGAGGGGTAGCGAGACTGTGGAGGTGGGTATTAAATGGGAAAGTGATGAGGCGAGGGATGCGCTGTTGGAGATGGCTTGGTTTAACGTCAAGTAGCGCTTTGTTAATTAGAGGGAGCGTCAAAGGGTTGATGTGGGGAGATTTGTATAGTACGAGGGTTGGTCCTCTAAATAATGTCTTTGAACATATATCAAGCCTGAATGCATATGGTCATTACTCGTGAGCCAATAGAAGACCTCCATTCTCTAACCCTTATCTGCAGACTAAATTTGATGTGAAGTGAGATGAAGTACCGTAAGAGAAGATATACCACAGTGAATCTCCAAACAGATACCTTGCATCCCCACGTTCGCTTAACAAAGCCTCGCTCGGTGTCTGGTAAGACTTACAAGAAACGACCAAGTGAATCCAAGGATCATCTCATCAGAACATGTCTTTGTTGCATATCGCAGTTAGCGTTTGACACCCTGAAGCTATAGGTCTTGAAGCCTGAAGGAAGGTTGTTGATTAAGTGGTTGTTGATCAAGGCTTTTGGTGAATTTTGTGGTTTTTTGGTTGGAGAGCTGGTTTATGTTTGGTGTGAATTTAGCGGGGTTGATTTAGATTGTAATAGAATTGTAATGTTGATGAGAAAGATGGTAATGCGATTGTTTCTTTGGTGTTGTGTTGTGAGTTCCTTTAAGTGTTTCGTTTGAGATATTGGGGGCTCCTTTGTTGCTTCTGTCCTGCGATGATGTAGGCCATTTTGTACCTCCGTTTCTCTGTGTTCCAGATTTAATTTGATTCAGTAAGATAATACTATTTTGCATAACAGAAGCTCGCACCCGGTGCTATGGATACTTCGAGGACGAAGGCCTCGCTTGCGAAATCGCCGAGGGCACTTGCGAATGACAGTACAAGTTCAGTATATGTTTCATCACGGACGAGAGTTAATTCACTTGAGGAAGGCTCGGGTGAGCTCTATGACCAGATATCTTGGTGAATAGTATTGAGTTGAGAACGTGAGGCACATGTAGCCTGGAAGCTTCTCCTGAAGAAAGTACTTCTACTCACACCCATCAACAGATCCTGTTCTCTGGTCATCGAAGATTCTTCTCAATACACGCCACTGCGGTCTTGTAACTTCCTATTTACGACTTACAGACTGTTACTGTTTCCCCGAAGGCTACGAGCATTTCCAAAAATATCTCGCAGTAGCAAATATTTCGCTGCTTTTACGCGAGTCCGCGACACGAAATACTAGTGCCAGTAAACAACAGACATCGTATCGCACCTTCGCATCGACCGATACACCATGGTATCTTTTGTATCCTCCTCCAACTCCCTGAGCGAGGAGAAGATCCCTGTGGACGACGACAACGCATCCTCATCATCTGATAGCGAGGGGTCCATCAACACTCCATCATCAACAAGCTCTTCTGCCTCTCCAAACATGGAAAGAATCAATGAACCGAGCTTTAGCGACAGCATGCCAGACAAAACAGCCAATTCTCCACGCGTACGAGAATGGATCCGAAAATGGTTCGCGCAACGCTTCATCCATCAACGTTACACCAACTGCACGATTGAGAAACTCCACTGGTCCGGAAAAGACATCCACGATGAATCAAAGGAAAATTTGGAGGGCGATCTCACGACCTTGGGCTTCGAGCTATATGCACGAAGTCTCGCACTTGAGATTATCGAAGCACGTGGAGGGGACCTTGTCATCGGAGGCATTTCCGGACTAATGGAACCGAAGGAGGTCTTGCAGCACGTCAAGCAGTTCATCCAGAAGAAATTTGAGGAGACGAATAAGGAAAATGTGAATGAACATGGCTACGACCTTGATATCCTACGTTATTTCATCTTATTCTCCCTTCTTGTTTTGGTTAAGATCAGTGTGGTTTGGAAGTCATTATACTTCACTGTTCTCTTGACTGGCTGCTTTCTGTTTTTGAAGCAAGTCAGCAAGTCTTTGAAGAAAGCTACTTTTGCGATTGAGGACAAGCGGCGAATCGAAGCATATGGTACGTCGAATCAGCAATTCAGCCATTTCGCACCCTCTGCAATCAAGATGGAACAAGACCAAGATATTGCTATCGAGAAATATTCAACGGAGAATGAGGAGAATAAGCGGGAAAAGGTGTCGGATTTCTTCGGAAACGACCTCGATTGGAAGAAGAAGTTTTTAGGCATTTGGAAGATCTGGTTTCTTCTCGAGATCTTTTGCTACTTCTTGGATTGGCAATTTACTCGAACTCTCAGTGTTTTTGGGGCTACGTGTTTGTTCTGTATGTCGAATGAGGGGATTTACTTGATGGTCTCACACTTGGAGGCTCGCAAGGAAATGCTGCTCGAGAACGAGGGTAAGGGGGTGGGGACCCAGATCGATCCGAAATCCGAGTGATATTGTTGAGAGGGACGAGGACTTTGCATATAGAGTTGGAGATGTACTTGAGAAGTACGGCAGATAAACTTGCTATTTGTGGTTATTTGAGGGAACGTCAGGTTCGTATACTGGCACAATCATTAGATGAGGTAGCTCAAACAATACACTTTTATTTTACTCAGAAGCAAGCAGAATACGATTGTTCTTTGTCCAAAAGAATTGAAATCACATAAAGCCTACCCTAACTCTGTATCAGAAAATTCCTCACGGAATTTGCTGCTCCTCGACTCGCTCTTTTCAATATTTGGAAAAGTGGGAATGTAGCTTTCTAAATCCGCTTGAGGACTAATAGTTTCATTTTTGCCTGAAGTCTGGGTGCAGACTTGAATTGTAGTCGTACTCAAATGGATACCACTTCCAATATCGCCTCGGGTGTTAATGTGCAAAAAGTCCCTTTCACTATAACTTCTCACCAAGTGGCCCGGTTGTTTGATGGCACTGATTCCGCAAAACTGATCATTCCCCCGAATTTTAGTAGTGACAGTGGATCCCATCTCACTATAATCATCGAAATCTCCTTCATACTCCGCTCGTATCCTTTCCGATCCTCGACGCATATTATCCCGCTTCTCATACACACTCTGCGATGCAGAATAACCAGATTTATGACCAGGAGTAAAGTTCTTCATGCCTGGCACCTTCTCTTTGAGCAAAGGCCAAATGAGCGGAATGTTCGCCACATAAATTGCCACGGAGCTTTCCCTCATGTAACAGAGCATATAAGTCGGCTGGTAGATATGTTCAAAATTGAAAACCGTCGCCAATATCGCACCGATGATGACGAAAATGCCTAGTCCAAAGATCCCAGATAAGACCAATCTGTGACGCCAGGGAACGTTGAGACGAGTGATGAGAGGGAGTGGGATAAGGAGAATCAGGGAGTCGGAGGAGATATTGAAACATCCTTGGACAATTGCGTAGTACTTGAGTGTTGCGCATTGAGAACTAGGTGGTGGCATGGCCCAGTATCCGCTGAATGGTCGACATGCTGTGAAGAATGCGATTTGAGTTCCTAGCCATCCTAAGAGGACGTAAACTGAAAGGCAGGTTACCAGACGTTGTCTGTAGAGACTGAGGGGGAGGCGGGTATACAGTATGAGCATACAAGCTTTGACACAGTATATGACATTGAGCATTGCCTGTAAGACAATTAGACTGGATGGAAATTGAAAAATATCAGCTGAAAATAGGAGAAAGAAAACATATCTACCTGCTCAGATACCACAACAAGTTTGGACCCCTGAATCCGTTCTTTGATATCCTCGGGGGTGAAACTGTCGAATTGTTCCGGTGGATAAAGATTGCTGCCTCCTATTCCAAATGTGATATTGAGGCAGACAACGAGTACGGTATAGGAACACTAGAGCACCGAAATACCGCATTAGTGGCATTTCAAATGAGTATATCTTTGAAACAGAAAAACAAGCTTACGCCGGCCAAAATCATAACATAATCATCTATTTGCAAATGACCAATTCCAAGTCGATGGATTCGTGCATACCTGAAAACAATATCAGTACGTTAACAAAAAGGTGGGCTGTCCATTGGAGAGGCGGCAGCTTACATCCTAAGGAGAAACATAAGTATAATCACTCCGTATAAACTCCATGATTCAACTGCTAGCTTACTAACAAAACTTGAGTCGAAGTTGCCCATCTTCCTCGAAGAAGTGGGTTTAAAAAATGATGGAAAAATAAAGGCAGTTAGAAAGCAGCAAGCTGTCGACGACAGATAAGATGCAAAAACAAGAGAGTACACATGCTAGGAGAATTTTGATCATATGATCTATCAGCTCTGAGATATGATGAATCATATACTGTCTGACCGTTATAAGTCGTGTACTTTCAGCCTTCAAAAGAAAAATGGTAATTTGTAACGTGGGAAGTGAATCGCAACATCTCTCCTTCTAATAGCAACTATACATCTCTCTGTAGGTCTACATTTCTTTCTTAACCTTCATATTCTTAGGGAGATGATACAGTTCAGAAAATGGCTCCACCACTTTTTCTTGAATTCATACCTGATCTCAGAGAATGTTGTTCAGCTCAGTATAGGGGCTGAACGAGACGAAAGCGAGCTGAATGGCCAATCAGCTTGACTCGCTAGCTGAACCAGTACGAATACGATCCCAACCGTTAAGAAACCTCAACCCCCTAGGCAAGGCTCGTGATCGAGAAGAAGAATGGCAATAAGTATCCGCATTGCGCAAAGCCGTTATAAGAGTTCATCATCATTCTAAATCGAGGGAATCAAAATATTGACTGTAGCTTTTGAAGAAGACAATTAGAGTAATTAAATCCAAAGATTGAAGTCAATCACTGGCTTAACCTAAAAAAGAAGAACAATGAGAGATAGATTTGAATCTCCACTAGCCACTTCGCCTGAATTCAAAGGAGATCAAGTCTGAACTCCTAAGAACAACTCGACGTCACCTATCACGGTCAGTATCGAAGTCTTCAACGCGCAGCATGAATAAGTGGAAACTCACAATCATCATTAGCATCGAAATTTTCAATTTTTCGCTGCAGTCCTCCCGCTCTTTTAGATACCTCAATCACCCTCCCGTCTTCGCTTATCCATCCGCCCAAATCTTCCTCACTGACGAACATGCCAATCGGTGGTGATATGAGATCTGGCAGAGGATCTGTGTGGGAGTCCGTTTGTCGATAAACCGGCATCTCTTGAATATGTCGTTGGGAAATTGTGTTCAGAGATCCTATCATCACAGAGCCTGGCTGGCTTATATTGCTGAGAGGTGGCGGATAATACTGCATCTCGCGAACACGGCACGAGTCAGGGAGATAGATGTTATTTTTTGGGACTTTGGCTAGCAGAATTTGTTGGTCATTTGTATCTGGATGGTTTCTTACGACTCCTGTCGTTGAGATGAATAGGCGAGAAGAGATCAATCTTTATCACACGAAGGCGATTGCGACTGAAGGTTGCGAACAAGTGTGTAGGAGTTCATGTCAACGAGAGGGGTACTTGGGTAGTCGGGATAGATGCAAAGGTTCCTAGCTGAACTTCGGTGCTATGTATCAAATGAGGTTGACTGCGTGATTTCTTATGCTTCGATAGCCTATGTGTCGTGACTAGCAGAGACAACTTACAAGGAGCTTCGAGAGAAGAGGTGTTTTCACCTTTGCCAGAAGCACGCTTCTTCTTTCTGATCGCTTTTTGAAACGCTTTCCTATCCTCTGGAGAGAGACGAACTTCTGCTTCTAGAGAGGCAAAGTGCAAATATTTGCCGTCACCAGAAAATCTTGGTTTGACGAACAAATGCCTTGCTATGGTACTATCAGCATTTGGAGTTTTCATTGAAAGGAATAAAAAGTTTACCTCGAGGAATCATGGGCTTGAACCCTCGAATAAAGTACGAGTTATTCATAAAGTCAGCAAAAAGAACATTGCCTCCAGAAAGTGGCCAAACAACAAGTGGTTGAGTGGGATGAATGGCTGGTGGAGAACCGTTCAACGCCACTGGCAACTGGTGATTGTGGAGGAAAATCTGCTTTGGTGGAGTTTGGGAGACATCAACTACTGTAATCATTCCACGCTTCGTGGAGGATTTTCGGAAAACATTTTTCGCTGCAGTGACGTCCATGTCGGAATCATTATCATCAGAGTCCCCGAACGGAGCAAATTCCCCTGCAGTGTTTCTGCTGTAACGCGGCTCATCTTCAGACGTCGGTCCATCACCTGGAACTGTTGGTAGGGTAACGATTCACGTGATTTAAATAGAGATGTTGACTTACTCGTCCCTTCATCGTCACTATCAAAGTCTGTGCTCGAGTTAGGGTTATTCGAAGAGCCTTCTGACGAAGACTTTGGCGGCTCAGAGGCAGAACTATCTTCATTCTCAACCTGGAATCCAAGCTTTTCGAGGTCGGTTGACACATCTGTCCAATCTTCATCACCGTTATCTATTTCTGGTTCTTCAGAAGAAGAACTCTCCGGATCCGAGTTGCTCTGGTCTGGCACATCAGTAACTGCTTTCTTAGTTGTCGTCTCTTCTGCGTTTTACTCCTCGATTGGAGGCTCAACATCCCTTTGAAAGTCGCTCTCCTCAGATTGGACTTCAGTTGCCTCTTTATGATCGTGATTTGCTGGAGGTTCGTCGTTGGATGAGATTTTCGGGATTCTCGTTCTAGACACAAGAACTACGTACTTACCACGAACCCAAAAGTCTTCAAAATACCAGGGTATTGACTCAGATGCGTTTTTCTTGCCCAATACCTCGACATAATCACCTTTGGAGTCTTTTGCGAGAACTTGAGGGCCTATTCTAAGTGAATTAAGATCCGAAGAAAACTTGATGGAGAATTGTCTTGATCCTGCACCTATCACTTCTTCGGAGTAAAGCCGCCAGATATCGTATTCGAATTTATGGTGGGCTTCCCGGGAGAAGCCGCCAGGTCTCGATTCGGAACTCAATTGACATGCCGCAAGGAGACCTTTCAGAGACATCAGTATCCGATACAAATGAATTACTCACTTCAACTTACAGTTTAGATTGAAAGTACAGACGAGGCGGTTCTCTTTTACTGTGAGTATCTTCCGGGATTTCTTGGCAGTGACGATTAACAGCGAATAAGCATACGGAAGAGTCATGATAGATACAGCAACATTCTAATCACACAATCCTGATTGTTAATATGTTCCGGCCTTTCACTCGGCTCTGGAACGCGATAAATCGAAGGACGATGAGTATCTTATTTGTCTTCCGTATATTCAAGGTTTTAGCTTTGGGAATAAAAGGTGGGGTAAGATCAAGTTCATTTGCTCTTGAGCGGCCTTTACTTTTTCTGTTCTCATTATTCGAGTATTCTCGTTTAATTATAGAACTTTCCATTTAACGACTTTTGATACAATCCAGGGATGAGTTATAATTCTTTAGAAGACGACCAAGAAATGGGCTGATGCGTCCTGGATTGTGTCTCATTGTCCCTACATCCAAGTGCATGAATTCGACCCTCGCTGACTCCTATTAGGTGGTTTCGCGATCTCGAGACTTCAGCCAATCTCTTGGGGCAAAGAAACCTTTGAGTCGCTAGTCTTAGAACCAAAGCAAAAAAAACTGATCCACAGTCTTGTGAAGCAACACTCACTCCTAGACGATAAATTCGACGACCTAGTTTGCGGCAAAGGTCAAGGGCTCATAATCCTCCTAAGTGGCAATCCCGGTTGCGGTAAAACGCTCACAGCAGAAGCCGTAGCAGAAGTAACCCGCAAGCCGCTTTACATGGTCTCAGCCGGCGAACTAGGGACCAAACCCCCAGAAGTCGATAAAGCACTCACGCAGGCCCTAACACTTGCCCACAAATGGCAAGCCGTAATGCTCCTCGACGAAGCCGACGTCTTTCTTCAAGTCCGTGATACCATCGATCTCGAACGTAACGCATTAGTCTCTATCTTCTTACGACAACTGGAATACTACCAGGGGATTTTGATACTGACTACCAACCGAATTGGAGACTGTGATCCATCGTTTGAGAGTAGAATTCATATCAGTTTAAATTATCCGGATCTAGGAGTGGGGGCTAGGGAGGCTGTTCGGAGGCCTTTGTTGGGAAGGTGCAAAAGGCTGGGGTGGGAGGTTCGGTTAGAGAGGGGGAGATTAGGGAATTGGCCGAGTTGGAGTTGAATGGGAGACAGGTCAGTATTCTGATAAAACTAGATTTTAATGATGTGCTGAATAGTAGTAGATTAAGAACCTTGTTGGGAGTGCTAGGTCTCTTGCGTTGGATAATAATGAGCAGATGGATGCTTCGCATATAAATACAGTTGTGGAAATCATGTCTGACTGGAAGGAACTTTGAGATTAGAAGTGTAGCAGGCGTCAGACTTGGGCACGATATCATCGATGTACTGTAATATCGGGGGAGTCTCCGGCGATTATCGTATCGGAAATATATCAACGCGAGTATGATTCTGGGAAGATAGGTCATTATATTTATGTTACTTTTAATTTGATTACATTATTTTCTCGCTCTTATTCTAATAAGAACTCGCTACTACTATTCCACTTCCATTTAAACGTACTTAAAACAGCATATATATCTAATAATCTACCCGCCACTAGTTTACTTCTTAACCAGTTCAATAGCAACCATATAAACATAGGTCCTTACCTCGATACTATTAATCCTATAATCCCCAAAGGTATCCGGATTACGACCGATAGTATGGAGCCACGAATAAGTAGGGTCCGTACCAACCACAAGATTGAACATTTCTCCCTCAACGCCCGGGGCGTCCGCACGTAAAGTGAATTTATCATTACGGTCCTGTCCCATTTTATAGCACGCCGTATCCAACGCTGCTTGCGCCTCTTCATTTGCGATATTGTCACAAACCAAAAAGTACTTTTCCGGCGCGCTATCGAGCAGTTTCGTTTGCTTCGCAGCAAAATAGACGAGCTGAGCGACTGGGACAGCTTTGGCGGCGACTTCTTGTGCTGGAAGAGGAACGTATTTGGAGGTCTGGATATCCACTACGGGAGCATTGTTCTTAATTGTATAGCGATTGGCATCGTTGGATGCGAAACGATAGTGAGCAATAATAGCCACAGCATCTTTGCCATGTTTTGTTGATCTTGCAATGCTTAGGTTCACGATCCAAGCAATCATGTAGCCCTTGGAGTGGACCCATACGCCCTTCCAGCCATTATCTTCCTCGAATCCATATTTTTTGAAAAAAGAGAGCCATGGAACATCCTCTCCTACACCATTTCTCCTCCATTCTATGTCATTCAGGTTCGTAATAACGTAGTTATCCTGTAACTGAGGGAGGAAATCTTGGCTTTGCTGCGGGGTAGCGACAAGTGCAAGACCCTTTTTTCCTCGCTCTATTAAAACCTCAATTGGTCTCCGGTCCTCCTGTTTGTCAACCCTTCTGATCCAAGTGGGGACAACCTCAATTGCACAGGAGTCAGGATCAGTAGTAGGGGAGGCTTCGCAGACTTGGATTTCGGTTGTTCGGACACGTTCGCAGTTTGCCTCTTTGTCGTCGTCGACATTCATGAAATTTCCCTTGCAGAAATGTTGGCCTCTTCGCGTGATAGAGCTGGGTTTGCCGGATGTTTCATCTATAGGACTGTCTCGGAGAATATTTTTATGCTGAGTGCTTCTGATTTCAGTTGGTAAAGGTGGAGCGTCGGAGCTGGAAAGCGCCTTGTTAAAAGCTGTTGGAAAGGCACCTAAGAGAAGAAGAAAAGTCCGACGCATGGTGAAGAAATCCTTCACAAAACGAAGTGTTTTGGTGCCCTCGAGAATCTTGTGAATGATATAGTAGCGCGTAAGGTACCGCGTGTGATATAGGAGGTAAAAAGAAGGTTAAGAATATGATCAGCAAATCCTATATAGATTGCAAATCCTATTTATATTGCTTCTAGATTGTTGCATGATTACTCGTTCGTGTTCTATTATATTACACGGCTATCCCCGCATAGCTTCCAAACCATAGTCGGACGACCACACCAGAAAAAGGTCGATTGTGAAATGTGATTTTGATTCTATTGTACCAAGTGTCCCGAAGGACGTCTGCAAACTGCTTATTTCTAATATATATACACCTTCCAAGCCTGAAGTTCACAATCCAGGACCTTCAGGACTAGGTACAAGTAACGCAGTGCTCTAGAGGCAATTAATCGCTCTACCTATGATCTAGTATCTCATACATATTTCTAGCTACAAAAATTTTCCAGCCACAAAGTTCTTAAAAGTATACGGAAAATTACTCGAAAATAACTTAAAAGCTTAAATATTTAATGGTTTAATCTAAATATAATTCTACGGGCGTAAGAGTAGTAAATTTAGGCTACGTCACGCTTTTAGTGTTAAAGCGGGGGATTCCTAGCGCCTTGGTACTATAGATCCTAGTCTAATTCTATTATTCCTTTAGCTACCTATACGAGTACGGCCAGGAACACCTTTTTATAACTTACTACTAAGAGTCTTAAGTGATTTAATAGGACCCGATAGTTTCACGAGTTTTAGAAACAAAATATAGGTAATAATTAATAAAAACCACGGAATAAGTCCTTTACTTATATAAGTAGACGTCTCCCCTAAAAACCACCAAAAAACCCCCCACTCCCCCCTTTAAAAGGCACCAAAAATTAAATCCTTGCAACTGCCGTGAATCGAACACGAACCTCCACCTCGCATTCCCCATTTACTAGAAACGGGAGACATGGAAGGGTGGAATCCTAACCATTGGACCACAGAAGCGTTTCTTTTTTGAAATCGTTTTGTCTTCGGATGGGTGCGGAGCTCTTATCCAAATCCTTGTTCCCTTAGAGTCATCTGAAGGGTTTTGTGGGCTTGGCTTGGACTTGTGCAGGTGAGGGTTTGGTTTGGTGGGGGATGAAAAGAGAGGTTTGGGAGAAGGGAGGAAGGGAGGAAGGAAAGGGCTATTTTTAGGTGTTTGGTGGATGGAACGAGAGGGTTGGTACGGAGTAGAGAGGTTCTTTTTTAGTGTTGAAGTTAGTAAGAGTGTTTCCTTTCTGGGAGGATTGGATTAGATTGGATTAGGGTGTTATGAAGCTACATTATTATTACTCTTTTTTTGACCTGTACTCGTACGAGTACCATTATTAGTCCTATTTCAAAGGAAGGAGCTGATTCCGACCGTCACTGTCTTGCAGGTGGTTTTCATACCTACATACGTAGTTTTCAGCTAGGCCTCCGTAGAGAGAAATATCATCATACTTTGGCATAGCATAAAGTACTCTATCAGGACTTTCATTCGGCTGGCTAAACAATACGATGCGACTTTCTATTGTTCTTATTCCCACTGCACCCTTCATATTTTTAACGGCTTCTGACTAGACACTTTCACTGTAAACTCCCAGTTATAGATATAACTTCCAATCCAAACAACGACTTCCCTCTCCCAACCCCAAATGCGACAAGAGCACCAATCAAAAGACAATAAATACCTAGGTCATTCACTCCGGGATTCAAGTCTTGCACATCTTATCTTCCACGCGTAATCCCCGGGCCTCGAAAATCCGGGCCATCTTTTAAGGTTGCGGATGATGGCTAGGGCTAGGTAAGATAAGCTGAATGGCGGAGATGGACGGGATGGATGATGATCAATCTCACCCCACCTCACCTGAGGGAGAGAAGGAGGGGTAGCTTACGGAGGTAGCTTACCCCTCCAGGTTGACCCTTTCTTGATGGACAACCTTACGTTCGCGTTCTTGTAGGGTTTATTTGATAGAGTACTGTAGAGTAGAAGGAACTACGTATACATACATTACTTTATCATTATTCTTATTCTTATCCTTACCCTTATTCAATCCATTCCCCCCCCACACAAACCTCAAAAAAACGAATCTCCTCAGCGCAGAAATCAGAACACCTCGCCTTCTAGTTCTGATTGTGGAAAACAAGATGGCGATGAACGTCGAGGGCAAGACAGCGATCATCACAGGCGCAGGATCAGGGATCAACTTCGCATACGCAAAGCTGTTGCTGAGCAAAGAATGTAATGTCCTTGTCGCAGATCTGGCATTACGACCCGAGGCGGCGGAGGAGTTTGAAAGGTATCCTTTGAGTGAGGGTGGTGCGAGAGTGGTGTTTCAGAGAACGGATGTCGCGGATTGGAAGCAGTTGGAGAAGATGTTTAAGGTGGCTGTTGAGGAGTTTGGAGGTGCGGATATTGTTTGTCCTGGGGCAGGGGTTTATGAACCTGTAAGTTTCTTTTCTTTTTTTAAAGAAAATCTATGAGGAAGAGGGAGGTACTTGTAGAGGATGGTAGAAGGAGAGGGAATGCAATGCTAATGCATAATATCAGCTGTGGTCAAATTTCTGGTACGCACCTGGAACCGCACCATCGAAAGATGACCCCGCAGCATCTCGATACGCCCTCGTTGATATCAACATCACCCACCCCATCCGCGTAACCCAAATGGCCATCGCGCACTTCCTCTCGCAGAAGAAATCCGGTACCGTGGTCCACGTAACCTCCATCGGCGGCCAATGCCCATACTTCCCCACCCCCATCTACGTCGCATCCAAACACGCCATCAACGGGCTCGTTCGGTCCCTCGCACCGCTCGAATCACCACCGGCGCATATCCCCAAGATCAGAGTTAATGCCGTGGCGCCGGCGAGGATCCTGACGCCGTTGTGGACGGACAATCCCGAGAAGATGAAGATGGTGGGTAAGGAGGGGAATTGGGTGATGCCGGACGGTGTGGCGCAGGTGATGTTGGATTTGGTACAGAAGGAGGAGTATGTTGGGGGGAGTATTGTGGAGATTGGGAATCATGTTAGGATGGTGACTGCTTTTGATGATGCGGGACCGCAGGGCCATGGGAATGGGCTGAGTCATGATGAAAATTATGATGAAGAGATTTGGAAGAGTATGGAGGGGTTGATGGGATAGAAGATAGAGAGGGAGTACGCGATGGTTCTACTGCAGAGCCCAGGACGGTGAAAAGCATACGGGGTTTCCCGAAATGGTGTAAAGTTGTTGACTCCAACAGACGGGAACAGACGGGATGTTTTCGAGCGTTTCCTTTCGATATTACAACTTCATCCTTACATACATAGAAAGAAAGTAGACTAGATTTTGAATAGACTACTGCAAGCCATATGTGGAGTCTGAGTCGTGTAGGGATTGTTTTAGAGGGAGAGAAGAAGAAGAACTATACAAATATTCATCCCTTCGACCGAAGAGATTTTGGGAAACAATTCAAAGACGGACAACTTGGAGAAACACAATTTCTCCATACAACATATACGTCTACTATATATAGATCATACTCATACCCCATCAGTTCATCCGTCTGCCAGAAGACTGTCACACATCATCATATGGTACTTGGCACGAACTGCTCTGCCACCAACGGTTCCCTGTCCGAATTTTGGAGTCGTTCAAGGCTGTTTCAAGCGTCGTATTCTTCTGCACCTCAGTTGAACCCACGAATCAAGCTCTCTCTGCGCTTTTTGCGATGCACAACTGTGCGCCGCCGAACTCTCTTCTAGGCGCGGGTTATGGCTGCGATAAGCATCCCGCCTTGATTTTGGCAGTGCAGTAGTGCAGTAATAGTGCAGTGCATCCCGGCATGCATCAAGATAGGCGTTTGCGGCACAGGGAATCAGGATCCTCTTCATTCAGATGCAAACTGCATCATGCTGGATACTTTGGCATGGCGGTCTCGTTGGTGGGGTGATTGAAGAGCGGTGGGAATTGGGTTTGGCAGATGTAGTAAACATACGGAGTAAGTAGAAATGCCATCGACGCAATCCACAGGTATCTGTACGAGTAGATGGTTGGATTGCGTGAATTGATTCCTCGCAGTGATGATTGTTGATGCTGCCTTCTCTCTTCCAATCATTTTGCGCAGATAGTGTTGTATCAGCGTAATCCTGGGCCATACCTCACCTACCCTTGTGCCGCAGAACCAAATCCAGATCACTTTGATTGCGACACCGACTCACTCACTTTCTCCCTCCACCTCCTCCCCCTTCCCTTCCTCTCCTCCACTCCATCACTACCGATAGTCGCTCCCCCCTCGTTTGGAGCAGGCACCTAGGATCTACTTGTGGGTTGTGGGGAATAATCTCGAAAGTAAACAATCGCTATCGACTATCGACCTGGCATCGTCACATCAGGCCCCACGACCGTTCCTTCCACAGACACTGCACTGTCACCGTCACTCGCTACGTACCCCGAAAGGCACAGCTACAGGGCCAAAGGAAAGAGAAGAAAATTCCACGACATCATCGCGACGGAGATTCGCAATTTCCAAATAGAATCGTTCAATTGCCTTACCACCACCTAATTTCTATTCCCCCCGCTCATCTCGCTGCACAATCTTTGCGTCGTCAATAATTCCCTTTGGAAGGCTTCTCACGATGTTTGCGAAATCTCTGGTTGCCGCGACGCTGTTGGCAAGCTATGCGATTGGCGCATCAGCAATTAATACCATTGAAGCTGTTGGCGCAAAGTTCTTTTACAGCAATGGCACTCAATTCTTCATCAAAGGTCCGTTTCTCCCCCAAACATTCATCAAGTCTAAATTCTAATCTTTTCTACAGGCATTGCATATCAACTCACCGAACACGATCCCCTAATCAACACCGAACAATGCCAGCGCGACGCTGACTTGATGAAGACGTTGGGCGCTAATACAATCCGTGTCTATCATGTTGACCCCAGAGGAGACCATAGTGGATGTATGAGTGCATTTGCAAATGCTGGAATCTACCTTTTGGTTGATCTGGATACCTTCAACACGCAAATCAACCCAGTAAGGACCTCTCTCGCAATCCGGTGAACTTCAACTGACAACCTCATAGACCGTCGCATCTTGGAACCAAACTCAATTCGATGCATACGCCAAAGTCATGGATGCTTTCGCAAAATATGAAAACACACTAGGCTACTTTGTTGGCAACGAAGTCATCGCCTTGAACAATCAATCTCTCGCTGCTCCATATGTCAAAGCTGCTGCTCGAGATCTCAAGGCATACAGAGACAGTAAAGGGTACAGAAAGATCCCAGTCGGTTACAGTGCCGCGGATATTGCAGAGCTGAGACCTATGCTCCAAAACTACCTAGCTTGTGGTACCAATGCGTCCGAGAGCATCGACATGTTTGGTTTGAATGCCTACGAATGGTGTGGTGACAACACTCTCCAAACTTCCGGATACTCTACTCTCAACACCTACGCCGAGACCTACAATGTGCCCATCTTCTTTTCTGAAACGGGCTGTAATACTAACAAGCCTCGTACTTTCGCTGATCAAAGCGCGATTTTGGGCCCTGACATGGATTCTCTCTGGTCTGGTGCCATTATCTATGAGTGGATTGAGGAAGCAAACAACTATGGTCTTATTTCATATGGTCCTAATGTTTCCGCTACTGTCACTGCATCAAATATTCAAGGGGGTTACTCACGAGGAGGTACTCCAACGCCGGTCGCTCCAGATTTCACAAACCTTCAAAATCAATGGAAGACTCTCAGTCCTACCGGGATTGCTTCTTCCGACTACAAACCAAACTTGACCCCTCCACCTTGCCCAGCATCCACTCCAAATGGATGGTTGGTTGACGGAAATGTTAAGCTTCCAAGTGTTGGTCAGACTCAAGAGACTGGATCACCAACTGCTGCTGCTACATCCACACCTACTGGAACTGCCGCCACACCCAGCAGTACCAAGGGCGGAGCGAATGGAGGAAAAGAGATAACTGGCATGGGACTGGGCTTAGTTACCGTCATGCTTGGGTTCATGTACTGGTTGTAACAGTACGTTATGTGGACTTTGTTGTATATAGATGCGGAAATAGTCCCTTGAGAATGCGGACTTGCGTATACGATAGTACGAAGGCGTTTTGGCGGGATTCTTACAGCATGATTCATCGATTGAGCGCATGATAAACGAAGCGCGGCGTTTTGGTGTTTTTTCTCCCCAATACACACATCATGGGGATTGATTTTTGGCATTTTCATCTGAGGGAAAGGGTGGGGGTATAATGTCATCTTCTCTCTCTGTCTAACGCTACATTTATATGTAGATCAGATTGTGGAGATTGCAAATGGTCTAATTATGTTGATGGATGAAAGATGAAAGTACCAAATGAAAATGAGGATTGCTCACCCTGTGGGTTGGCAGTAGGAACATAATAATGGAAATTTTATTTGAAGGTCGCGCCTTTTTATGTGCTTATCGTGATGGGTTGAGATGTGAGTGGACTTCACCTCTTTATTTTAGCCACTTTTTAGTAAGTGTTTATACTTGGTTGGCTGACTTTGTGTCGCTGTATGTATGTACATAGCCTGTATATAGACTGACATCAATTTTCTGGAGAATTCAACGTTGTGCGCACAGTTATGCGCTTTTTGGTTGTTCTCTGGGAGTGCTATGCGTTGAAATATCTGGCCGCTTCACTGTTTACTTCTGGTTAGGTAGTTCATCGGAATTAAAGGGGGATCTCGCTAAACTCCGAAAATATTCACTTCCATTTTTCGCCAAAGGTGAGATGCTCCTTTAGTCTAGAGCAACCTCTTTGGGCTTTGGACTTTCGTCTTCCATCAAAATGAGGAAGGCCCAATGGGGTTAAAGGTCAGAATGTCTAGAAGATTGCAAGTGCTGGCACGGGTCTGTGGGAGTTACTGGGCCTACCTCATTTGGTTTTCTCATTTCTTGGTGCTTTCACTTTCTTAGACTACTTCACCACTGTTGTCTCATCTTATATAGCTTCACTATTTTGCCTTCCATCACTCCTCCCAATGGGGTAACTCGGACCGACAAAGGGAACTATTTCTTCGTTGCCCCTCCAGCCCCCCAGAGCGATAATTCCCATCATCACCACTGCCTGAACCTTTCCCCCTCTCCCACAATGCCAATTTGAGTCCGCCAACACCTCTCTCTACGCTATATGTGACGCGATTGTGTAGGGAATACAGTAAGTTGATCAATTGAGCCATTCATCAATTGAGCCATTCATCAATTTGCTAATGCCATTTATAGACGCGTTCGCTTCCAGCTCCTGCCTCCACCTCCAACACTTCAAAGTCTTGTCTTTTCACTCAATGGATTTTTAGAGATCTTCTTCTGTCGCTAACATGATGCAACTAGCATCAGCCTTTGAGGACCCCCCTCATCCATCGACCTTACCACCAAAGGTATTCCCCAAAGCAATCCCATGGCCAGATCACATCCCCATCCGCCATCGCCCATGGACCGCTCAACTCGAAGATCTTGACGCAAAGAACTCCAATCCACCCAAGCCCGACCTTGAAGACTTCAAGGAATGGCGCCTATCTCATCGAGTCCTCGAGTACGAAAAGTACAGGGAGTCGCGAGGACCATACTGCGAACTCGCGAGCCAGCGACTCCAAGCTGTGGTTGGCCTCCGCAACGATTACGAGTTCCTCCTTCCCAAGGTCGTCAATGGGACACCTGAGACGCCAGGGTCCGCTCGTCACGTCTCGGGTCCGGTGATGACGCCGTCGCTGAGACGGGTGTTGGATAGTGAAGTTTCGATGGGTGGGACGTCGAGGAAGCGCGCGAGGACTGCTACACCGAGGTATCCGCGTCTCTCGGGGTCGTTTGGGAGTCCGGGGATTGATAAGGAAATATTTGAGGATGGGTCTATGCGGAGTCCGGACTTGGAAGGGTTTGAGGTGGATCGCGAGACGGGGGGTGGGTTGAGGGATTATATGTTGAATATGGGTCGGAAGCATGGGATGAGGAGGGTGGTTTGTGATGGGTTTTCGTTCTTTGATTTTACGCCTTCGATGAAGGGGGGGCAGGAGAGGATGCAGTTGTTGATGCATTTGATTAAGCAGGAGGGATATCAGGTTGAAGCTTTTGAGATTGATATGTAAGTTCTTCATTCCCTTCTCATGTTCCTCATCCACTTCTCATGTTCCTCATCCACTTCTCAAGTTTGAAGTTATACTAATGAGATTAAAGTCCTACTACTTATACCAACGATGCCAATGGAGAGAAGACTACTATCAACGTCACCTGGATCTGGTTCTACATCTCCCACACTCTCATCGATATCCCCTCCAATGGCGTCCAACCACCACCAACTTTCCCCTCACCTAACCCCATCTCCTGGGTCTCATTCGCCCTCCCTCTCACCTACGCAAACAAATACGACACCGTCATTGAATACACACCCGCCGCACCGGACATCCCCTCCATCCCAGTCTCCACACACCCCTTCCACCCCCGTCCAGCCGAAGAGCTCACCCACCTCCCCCAAATACTCCACAAACGCACCGACTACGACATCTCCTTCTCCGGCACGCCCATCTTCGAGTTCCCCCAGAAGCCACCCTCCGTGATGGTAGGATGGCCAGCCTACCTCCGTCGTCGTCGCGAAGTCTTCCGAGACCAGGATACAGACTATGATTTTCTGAATCACGGATTCGCAGGCAAGTTCCTAAATCTAGGCTATGTGCGGCCGTGGAGTGAATGCGGTGGTGGAGATCCGGACGCGAATTGGTGGGAGAGGTTTTATCATGGGGTTTATGAGGATGTGTGGGCGTGGGAGCGGGTTAAGAGGGCGATGGGGAGGGGGTGTTTGAGGTTGGTTGTTAGGTGGAGTGAGAGTTTGGGGAGGCAGAGACGGGGGGTGAGTGGTGTGGGACTTGGAATTAGGGGGATGGGTATCTCTGATGATGATGAAGAGAAGGATGAGGAGATTCTGGAGTTTGAGAGACCGGTTGGGTTTGGTAGAGCGAGAAGCGGGTTGTTGGGTATGAGGGGGAGGAGTGCGAAGGTTCCTCAGCCGTTGTCTCTGGGAGGAGGTGGTGGGAATGGGTTTGGGCGTGAACAGTTCATTTCCAGTGGTACGGGTCTATCTCACGATATGGCTTCTTCTCATACTATGCCCTCATCCGACAACACATCCTCCTTCCACCCCCTCCCAACAGCCAATCCAGCACTCAACACAAACCCCCACCCCCTCTCAACAACCACTCCATCATTCAACACAAATCCCTATCACCAACAAACAGACCTCGACCCCTCAATAACAAGCCCAATGGATTTATACTTCAGCAACAGCCAACTAGACGGCACAAGCATTCCTCTCTTCTCCCCCGGTCCTCAAGAACGACATTCCATCTTCTCCTCCTGGCCCCGTCGCTTAAGTTTCCCTCACCAAAACCAACACTACAACTATAAATACAACGATAATACAGAGCAGGAAGAAACCAACCCCTCCCTCGATCCTAAAGCACCACACAACACACCCACCTACACCTCACCACACCCTACCTACCCTCCTTTCCCTCCTTTCTCTACCTACACATACACCTACGACCCACAACATGAAATACCGAACTCAACAATCTTCCCCTGCAAAGCCAAAGCCAAGCCCTCGCATCTTCCTCCCACTACACCACTACCACCAATTCCAACACACAACAGGCCCCAACACCGATATTACAAATGGCACATATCCTCGAGTATCAAAACGGGCCGGTGAATCTTCTTAGTACGCCTTGGTTGAGGGATGATCCGGATGTTTTGGAGGTTGATGGGGAGGGGGAGTTTGTTATTTTTGAGTCTTCTTCTACTTGTGGTGATGGTGATTTGGCTATTGATCCTGCACTCGCTAACACTTCTACTACTTTCAATAATGATAGTTATAACGATTATAGGAATTGGAATGGGGGAAATGGTGATGGGGATGGAGCTATGAACTCTCAACCCATCCTACGCTCCCAAAATCAAGAGGGGGGTTTAGAGGGATTTGATGAGGAGGGGAGTAGGGGTTGGGGCGTGAGGGGGTTTGTTAGCTCGCCTGGTGTTAGTCGAGGCTTAGGGGGGGAGGGTGTTGAGGGGAGTGAGGGGAGTACGGTTTTTGATGGGGGTGGTTGGTTTGTTGGTAATTCTGGTAATGGTGGTAATGGAGGTAGTAATGGCAGGGGAATGGGAGGTAGGATGGGAGGTAGAGGGGACTTTGAGGGGTTGAGTGAGAATGAGGAGAATGAGGAGAATGAGGAGAATGAGGGGCCGATTATGTAGGTTGTAGGGAGGAGGTTGGAGAGTGGAGGGTGGAGATGGGAAGGGAAAAGCGGGGGGGTAGTTTGTTTGTAGGTAGGTAGGTATGAAATATGGGGTTCTCTTATAAATGAGGAATTATAGGTATGATGGGTTTGTATGGAATGTTTGGTGATTTTTGATGGTGTTTCTAGGGGGCTTGTGATGATTTTGCGATAACTTCCTAATAACTTCCCAATAAACACCACAACCTTAACATTACTCGATGTAAGTCTAAGTCCCATCTTCACTTCAGCCAACGTAATTCCATTTACATTAAGCAAAACATGACCTCTTAATCCTAGTCCCAAGAACGCGAAACCCCTCCCTTTACCGCCTTATTACCAAATAGACGCCCACTGTTCTCACCTAGAATACCATATGCCGAGGTAAGCTCCTATAACCCAAGCAATAAGCATCCGAAAGACAATAAAGAAGTACGATTAACTAGATAAGCTGCCTCGATTCAGGGTTAACAAACTTCTATCTATTTTAAAGTTTGAGGTGGACGAAGAAACCTGAGCGAGATAGGCGAAGTCTGAAGGGGGAAATGTTAATGAGACTGTAAATGATAAAATTGCTTATTAGAAAATATAGTATTAGGAAGAAGTTAGTAACGTTAGATTCTTGTATAAAAGGTCTCAGGTTTCTATAAGGTTTAAATAGTAGTTATTTACATTGTTAGTTAGTATATTTTTAGGTTGTAGGTTCATGTTTTACGTGAGAGTAAAAACGGACTCTTTTGTGTCGCTTAGCTCGCTTAAATATAAGGGGACGTGGGGTAGTAGAAAAAACATATAGGAATAGAATGTATCGTTAACTTGTAAAATACTACTAAACTAACGGGCAACTATAGGAGTACGGTTTATAATATAGAGTATAATATACGTTAATGCGCTAGTACTACCTTTAAAACTCCTTATACTACCGATAATAGATTAGTTCAACATACAATAGACTATAGCAAGTACTTGTGCGTAAAGTTTTGGCAAGTTAATAACCCATTAAAATATACTGCAAAAATTTAACAAAACTCCGATTAAGGATCCAAGATTGAGTTCTTGCTGTCTAAGCCACTTTTTGACTCAAACAGCGAGGTAACATTTTAATCAAGGATTAATTGATATCTGAGACACTATATTACTGAAAAAAGTATCTTGTATTCATAAATTAATGGAAGACCTTTTCTTTAGCTACTCTAAGGTCTTGAACTGGATCCCACTCATTGAACATCCCCGCTTCCAACATTACTCCACAGGCAAGACCTCCAATATGCAATGCTCCCCATACGAATCATATCTGTAGACCTCGGTAATCTTCAATCCGACTTCTCCTAATAACCTCGTCCAATGTGCCATCGAACGCTCCAACGCATTAAACATGGTGAACATGGTGATATCTAGCTGCATGACATTAATAGACGCCCCTTGTTCGCGGAGAACAATTTCATCGATCAATAGCAGTGACTGCGGTGACATGGCGTCTTTGATACGCTGTAGAACCTGCTTGGCTACTGCGTCTGGGAGATCATGAAGACATTTCCTGATGAAGTATATTCTTGCACCTGGAAAGAGTCAAAAGGTTTTTTGACCTATTTTGGTATAGGTCCCCAGGATGCAGACTACAGCGATATTCGTAACCTGTGTCAAAAACGTGATTTTCAGGAATACTAAAAAAAGTTAGCGTGCCTAGGACTCTACTAACACCTTATTTATCCCTATAATCGATATCTCTACAACTATACTTTATAACGCTGTAATATAACCTAAATATCTACTTTAATATACTAGTACTTTATAAACCTAAGCGTTAGGCTAGTGGAGTCGTTATAGATACAAAAAGTCTAAAAAGATAACGGTAGCTAAGGTATGACCTAGGAACTTTAATTATTAAAAAACTACCACCTATAGTATATAAAACTAAGGCTATAAAGCGTATAAAAGCTTTAAAAATAGCTCTTACGAAAGATCCTGTTGGTACAACCTGGTTGTCGTAAAGGGTGATACACAAACATAATCTCTCTTTGTATTCATTCGTGTATGAAGAGTAAAGGTAAAGAGAGGTGGTACCCTACAAGCTTAAGTATATGAGTGGCAAGCCACTCACATGGCCTAAAGCATATAGATCCACCAGGCTCTCGTACAAGGTGCTATTCACCAGAATTATATACCGACAGATCCTATACCTCTAATTAAAATATCTAGCGATTCTAGATCACTAGAGACTTCTAAGAAACCTATTAAACCTATCGAAACTCCTAAATCTATACTAAAAGTACTACTGACTAAAGCTATACTAATAGCGTTTAATTCGAGGGAACTCTAAGATATTACTTAATTTATTATAGTTATATTCGATATACATATAGATAGTAAATAGAAGGAGTTATTACTATATAATCTAGACGTTAATAATATATACCGCTATTCTTATAATAACTTTATTAAGGTTATCTAGAAGTAATTCCTTAAAGAATAGGCGGATAAAAGAAGCCTTCTGTAACGAATACTCAAACTGGCTAACTAAACTTGGCTGGGTGTTCGCTGGTTGGTATGCTATGATAAGAAGAAGACTATCGGGTTGTTCACTTGGAAGTGAACTCGTTACTTGTATCAAAGATGTCAAACTAATATGATAAGATTGATAACTAAGTTGAGCACGAAGCTCCTATCTAATGGCAGAAGTGCCAGTCTTATATAGAACCTTCGTTCTACTGGATCCCTTTGGATCCCTCCTGGATCCATCGGGGTCCATCACGTGACAACAACCAAATGAAATCAGAG